ATTTCCTAAGTCCATCCATGTTGTCCCAAAGCGTAAGCAATCCCTATTTTTTACAGTTGTACAGTATCCCGTAATATAAATGTTCCACAGCTTCTTTATCCATTCATCTACTGATGGATCTTAGGCTGTTTCCAAATCTTAGCTATTGAAAATAATGTTGCTATGAACATAGGAGTTCATATATTCTTTCTGATAGGTGTTTTTGGATTCTTAGGATATATTCCCACAGAAGTGGGATTGCTGGGTCAAATAGCAGTTCCATTTTTAATTTTTTGAGGAAACTCCATACTGCTTTCCATAGTGGCTGCAACAATCTGCATTCCCACCAGCACTGTACTAGTGTTCCCTTTTCTCTACATCCTAGCCAGAACTTGATTTTTTTTTTTTTATGATTGCCATTCTGACAGGTGTGAGCTGATATCTTATTGTGCTTTTAATTTCCATTTTACTGATGAATAGTATCTTTGAGCATTTTTCATATGTCTCTTGGTTATTTAAATGTCCTCTTTGGAGAAATGTCCATTCAGGTCTTCTGCCCATTTTTTAATTGGCTTATTTACCTTCCTTTTGTTGAGTTATATGAGTACTTTATATATTTTGGATAATAACCCTTATCAGATGTACCATTGGCAAATTTGTTCTCCCATGTAGTGGGTCCCCTTTTCATTTTGATGGTGGCTGCTTTTGATGTGCAGAAGCTTTTTATTTTGATGTAATACAATTTATTTTTTTCTTAGTTTCCTTTGCCCTAAGACAGTGGTCGGCAAACTCATTAGTCAACAGAGCCAAATATCAACAGTACAATTGGAATTTCTTTTGAGAGCCAAAATTTTTAAACTTAGCCGAAACCGGTTTGGCTCAGTGGTAGAGTGTCGGACTGAAAGGTCCCAGGTTCGATTCCGGTCAAGGGCATGTACATGGGTTGCGGACACATCCCCGGTAGGGGGTGTGCAAGAGGCAGCTGGTCGATGTTTCTCTCTCATCGACATTTCTAGCTCTCTATCCTTCTCTGCTCCTCTCTGTAAAAAATCAATAAAATATATTTAAAAAAATTTTTTTTTAAACTTAAACTTCTTCTAACGTCACTTCTTCAAAATAGACCAGCCCAGGCTGTGGTATTTTGTGGAAGAGCCACACTCAAGAGGCCAAAGAGCCGCATGTGGCTCACAAGCGACAGTTTGCTGACCACGGAGATGTATCCATAAACACATTCCTACCCGAGATCTCTGAGATTTTACTGCCTATGCTCTCCTCTAAAATTTTTATGGTTTCATGCCTTACATTTAAGTCTTTTATCTATCTTGAGTTTATTCTTATGTATGGTGTAAATTGGTGGTCTAGTTTCATCTTTTTGCATTTGTCTGTCCAGTTTTCCCAGCACCATTTGTTGAAGAGAATGTCTTTACTCCATTGTATGTTCCTGCCTATTTTGTCAAATATTGATCGACTGTAACGGGGTGGGTCAATTTCTGGGTTTTCTGTTCTGAGATGCCTGTTCTTATGCCAGTACCAGGCTGTTTTGGTTATAATAGTTTTATAGTATAGTTTGACATCTGGTATTGTGATCCTTCCTACTCTGTTCTTTCTTAAGATTGCTGTGGTTATTTAGGGTCTTTTATGGTTCCATAAAAATTTTTGAAGTATTTGTTTTAAGTTCTGTGAAATATGCCATGGCATTTTAATAGGGATTGCGTTGAATCTATAGTTTTATTGGACAGTATAGACATTTTAATGATGTTAATTCTCCCAATCCATGATCATGGTATACACTTCCATTTGTTTGCATCTGCCTCTATTTCTTTTTTCCATGTCCTATAGTTTTCAAAGTATAGGTCTTTTACCCCCTTGGTTAAGTTTATTCCAAGGTATCTTATTATTTTGTTGTTGTTGTTGCAATGGTAAATGAGTAAATGGAATTAGTTTTTTTAGTTTCTGTTTCTAAGAGTTCATTATTGGTGTATAAAATGCCATTGATTTCTGGATGTTAATTTCATATCTTGCTGAATTCATCAGTAGTTTCCTGATGAAGTCTTTAGGATTTTCTATGTACAATACCATGTAACCTGTGAATATGACAGTTTTACATCCTCCTTTCCAATTTTGATGCCTTTTATCTCTTCTTCTTGTCTGATTGCTGTGACTAGGACTTCTAGTACTATAAAAGTGATGAAAGCTGACATCTTTGTCTTGTTTCTGTTTCTAAGAGAAGCACATTTAATTTTTGCCCATTGACTACTAGTTTGTCATATATGGCCTTAATTATGCTGAGTTATGATTAATCTATTCCCACTTTAGAGTTTTTATCAAAAAAGGGTGGATATAATCAAGTGATTTTTATCTTTCAATTTGTTGATGTGATGTATCACATTTATTGATTTGTGAATATTGTACTAGCCTTGCATCCCATAATAAATTCCATTTGATTATGGTGTATGATCTTTTTAATATATTTCTGGTTCCGAACTGCTAATATTTTGTTGAGGATATTAGCATCTCTGTTCATCAGGGATATTGGCCTTTAATTTTCTTTCTTTGTAGTGTCTTTATCTAGTTTTGGAATTAGGATTATGTTGGCTTTGTAGAAAGAACTTGGAGGTGGTTTTATTTCCATTTTCTCTGGTGATTAGCTCTGTGTGATGCTGAACTGCCGGCCTATCTAGCCTTCAATGCCTGAAGCGGGCACGGCTTGCTCAATGTACGTCATCCTCAACTCTGTGGTGCTCCTGTGGGTGTGAGGCAGGCAGCTGCTGCAGGAGGGTGGTGGGGGCGTGGCAGCCATAGTTGCACTGGACCAGGGCAGCAGCCATTGGCAGAGGTACAGGGTGTGCAACAGGGCATGAATGGGGACAGTTACTGGAGTCAGGTTCCTGAGTAATCCTGCAGGAGGAATCACTACAAGGTGAAGGACAGAGCCATGGTAAAGGTCTCTGTGGGGATGGAGGAACACTTAAGCAACCACAGAGCTGGGGAAGCGGGATGCAGGACAGTGGGGCAGGCCAGCAGACGGGGCTAAGATATGCAACTTTAGCCAAAAAACAAGGAGATGCCAGAGGAGGGCCTGCAGAGAGAGGCTTGGGCCAGGCTTAGGGAATGTGTGGAAGGCGGCGATGAGGAGGGGCAGCTCACAGATGGGAGGCTCTGAGCCAAGGTTCGGAGCTGGGTCATGCAGAGCATATGTGGGGAGTAGGAACAGCCTGTGAGTGGAGACAAAATTTGACAAGGAGTAGAGGGAGCCAAGTGAGCAGCAGTTTTAGGGGACTTCCTCCTGCCTCCCCCCCTGCCCCCCCAACCATGCACAAGGGGGCTCCCTTATTTTACCACTTGGACAGGAAGGCCTGATGACACCATCTTGGCTCTTGCAGGGATGGTGAGAAAGTGAAACACATTGAATCCAGACCCCAAACACTTCTCCAGCCAAGATTAGATGGTCCCATGTGGCAGCAGCAGCAGCAGCAGCAGCTGGATGACATGCTGAGGGGCCACCAAAGGTGGTATTTCTGAGTGGGGGCTTGTTCACTAACTCATTTTTCTAAGCATACATCAAGCCAGTGCCCAACACTGTCCCAGGGACCTGAGAGACGGGGTGCTCTGCTTGCAACAACAGTCTGGCTAGGCCTAACATGGGGAACCACAGGCTGGCACAGAATGGGGCCAGAGCACTGAGTGCCAGCCCACAGCGAAGGACCCAGCAGGAAGGCGTTTCCTCAGCATGCTCACTCTCCATTCACAGTCCGCTGCAGGAACTATGTGCCACTGAGTGGCCGCCCATAATGCTATATACCCTTCCCTGAGTTACATAGCACCAGGCCTGAATTCTCAACTCTTCCAGGGAAAGCATAATCACAAACAAAAACAACACAGGAAGCCTGGCTTTGTGATCACAATTCTCACCATCCCCATTTGATCAAAAGTGGGCTCTGGCTCTATCTACCACCAGAGGGCTCAAGGAAAACAGCAGGCTCAAGATGGGACATGAGGCCAGGTCGACAGTCCACCTCCACCCCTCTGCTCTCATCAGCCTCCTGTGAGCCAAGTTCATCCCATCTCCATCTCCCCTATGCCCCACTTCCTCTCTAAGCCCTGACCATGTTTAATATTACATCAGTGGGCTCTGTCCCTGCAGGGCACAGTTTAGCAATGGCTTATTCTTTCTTCTTCCTTTGGCCAGAGCCTACCAGGTTCAAGCCACTTCACTTCTCCCCTTCAGGCCCAGGGCTCTCCTGGGGCCCAGAACACCCTGTTGGCTTCCAGCCCTCTCCGAGCATGCCAGCTGCACTTGGACATAACACCTTAAAGCTCTACTGCACGTTCATATTTCCCAGCCTCACAGGCACAGTAGCTTCTCATCTTGACTTCTCAAAGCTTTTGTAAAAAAATGTTTTTATTTATTGATTTTTTAGAGGGAGAGGGGAAGATAGAAATATTCAGAGAAATCTCAAGTGGCTACCTCCTGCACACCCCCTACTGGGGATTGAGCCTGCAACCTGGACATGTACCCTTACTGGAAATCAAATTGGTGACCTCTTGGTTCCTGGGTCAATGCTCAACCACACTGGCTGGGCATCCTCTCAAAGCTTTTAATCTCTACCGCAGAAGGAAACTGGGATCTGACTAACAGGCAAACCAAGGGTGGTTCTCTGTCATAGGAGTGTTCACATCCTGTAAGCACCTCTGCTGGTGATAGGTATGACCGCATCCCCACAGCCTACTGGTTTCAAAAACAAAAAAGGAGAGACATCCATTTACTTATGTCACACCCTTTTTGCCAGAGGACCCCACAATCCTGCCAGAAGTGTACATCATCCATTTTACAGTGGAGTAAACCAAGGCTCAGATTCATAAAGGGATGTGCCCAAGGTCGCTTCGATCATAAGAGGTGGGTTGAGGTAGAATCCAGGCTGCTTGACTCCAAAAATATTGAGCTGTGGGTACGGAGAGCCCCCAGGATCAATGGCAGGGTTGTGCCTGCATGAGCTGGAACTGCCCGTGAAATGAACCCCTCAGGAGTGGCCTGGGTTGCGAGCCGCCCTCCACATCTGCAGCATGGAATCCCGGCGGGCCGTGTAGGGTAAATGTTTGACGCGGAACCAATGTCTGGGGACGATGTTCCCACTGGGCGTATACAGCTTCTCTCCGGGTGGACCTAAGAGACTGCGCAGGGCCAGGTTGCCAGACAGGATCTTCTCATAGAACTCCACTCCACCCTGGGAATAGGCTGCGGACATGGAAGCTGTGCGGCGGTCCAGCCAGGCTTCCAGGGCGTGCGTGAGAGAGTCTGTGGAGAAGGCGTAAGCCACAAAGCCTACCACTGCTGCCACCAGGTTGAAGGCAACTCTTAAGTTCATGGGGCCTCCATAGAGCCCCAGGGCGTGCTTGGCACTTATGCTCAGCATCCAAGTTCCTGCCAGACAAGCTGGGGCCGGCAGGGCCTGCAGGGCAGCTGTACCGCTCTCCAGGTACACCACCTCCCTGGCCAAGGCAAACTTCTGGGCATCATGGGACAGAGTCAGGGAGTCTTTCAGCTGGGTACCTTCTGGGCTTTTCCAGTCCACTCTTTGCCCGTGTACAATCACAGGGTGGTCAGTTCTGGTCACTGAGCCACCCAGGAAGCTGGCGGGGATGCCCACCACGGCCCCAGCAGGGAGTCTTGGGAAGCCAGCACTCACTGGCTGGAAGGTGAAAGCGGTGAAGGCCTTGTACCCATGGCCTGATGGGACGCCAATGTCCTGTAGCACCTCGTGGAAAAGTCTCTCAAGCTTTGGGGAGAGTGGGGCTGGCTGGCCCTGAGGCCAGTACTGGTATAGCCATCGAACCACAGGATCTGGGAAGAGGTGGTACAAGATCTGGGCTCCAAACAGGCCCGCACAGGAGCCCACCAACAGGCCTGTCCTATGTCTCTGCACGAACGCTGCGGCCCGCCACAGGGGACCGGCCATGGATGCTGCTACGGCTACAAACCTGGGCCAAGAAAAGAGAGAAGTCAGCCAATGGTTCCCTGGGTCTGCCTGTAGCCTGAATGTCCTCCCAGGGCCACATCCTTTCTAACAAGGGCAATACAACACAGTGGCGAGAGCTGGAGTTCCAATCTCAGCCCACCAGCCTCTCTGTTTGCCAGGCATGTGAAACTGACCCACCACTAGGGGGCTGTGATGAGTAAATGAATGGACACATAAAGCAATGAGTGTCTGGCCCAGTAATGGACAGCCTGTGATCATTTCTGGGATTACTTTTCCCACAGCATTACTACCGTGTTTCCCCGAAAATAAGACCTAGCGCGTGGAAAGATAAGACATCCCCTGAAAATAAGACCTAGCGCAACTTTGGGAGAAAAAATTAATATAAGACACTGTCTTATTTTCGGGGAAACAGGGTAGTAAGTGCCTAACTGCCTCAGTCCATTATGCATCCCAGACTGAAGCGCTATGACCACTAATTTACTGGTGTTTATGTTCAACTTACTGTGTACTAATGAGTGTTAGACAATTCTGACAGCTTTGTATTTATTAACTCACAATTAAATGCTCACAACTCCATGACCTAACTACTATTGGTCCTATTTAAAGCAGTGGAAACTGAGGCATAGATAGGCTAAGTAAATTGGTCAAAATTTCAAACTAGTAAAGTGGCTGTTATGGGCTGCATTGTGTCTATCCAAATTCATAGCTTAAATCTTAACCCCAGTACCTCAGAATGCGACTCTATTTATAGAGAAGGGGCCTCAAAAGAGGTAATAAGTTAAAATGAGGTCATTAGGGCAGGTCTTAATCCAATATGATGTCCTTATGAGATTAGGACAGACACAGAGGGAAGATCATGAGAGGTGCAAACCAGAAAGCAATCACCCACATGCTAATGAGAGAAGCCTCAGAAGCAACCAGCTCTGCTGACACCTTCATCTTGGACGTCCAGCCTCTAGAATCCTTAGAAAAATAAATCTCTGCCATCCAGTTCTTGCCATGAGGGCCCTGGCTGACTAATGATACAGGCAGAGTATTTGAGCACAGGTTGTCAGGTGTTCACAGCAAACTTCATTTAAAAAAAAACTTTAGCCCTGGCTGGGAGATGCGGTTACTTGTGGAGTGTCATTCCTACACCAAAAGGTAATGAGTTTGATCTCTGGTCAGGGCACATACCTAGGTCAGGAGAGATACGATGGATGTTTCTCTCTCACATCCATTTGCATCTCTCTCTCTAAAATCAATTTAAAAACAGCATATCCTTGTGTAAGGATTAAACCAAAATTGTAATGCCAAATTGCAAACGTACAAAAGTAGGAAAAAATATTGCATCAACTTTAATCACATGGCCAATCTTGTTTCATCTCTACTCCCACCCATATTCCCCCTCTAACTGGTTCACTTTGAAAAACATCCCGGGCAATCCATTATTTCAAATGTAAATATTTCAGAAAAGTTCACAATTAATTTAAGTTTTGTTGAAGCTTCCTGTCCTCCTGTCTATAAAGTGTATGTGTGAAAAGTGTTTAATTAGAGAACATTAATTGCTGCAAATAAGAACGTGGGGCACTTATTTTAATAACAAATTCCTAGAGTCACAAAACCTGGCCCTTTTTTCCAACGAGGAAACTGAGGCCAGGGAAGGGAGGGTCTGGCCAAGTCCCACGCCCCGGCACAGCGCCAGGCCGCCCCCCGCTGGGCGCGCCCCCACTGGGCACGCACCCGTGGGCAGCTGGGAGGCGGCTTCCTGCGGGTCCATCCGGGCCCTAAGCTACGCTCCGGTCTCCAACTCGCTCCCTGCAAAGAACCTGGGGAAGGGATGCCTCTGCGGACCCGCACCGACCACCCAACCAGCCCGCTCACCGCCTCCACCTCCGCCTCCGCCGCCGCAGCCTGGGACACCGCAACGTGAGCGCGGGGAGGCGCCAGCGGGGGCGGGGCCTGCCGCAAAGCACGCCGGGGGTCGGAGCCTGCCGCAAAGCACGCCAGGGGGCGGGGCCTGCCGCAAAGCACGCCTGGCCGGCGCGGGAGGCTCCTCCCCCTACTGAGCGCCTAGCAGGTGGTCTGCGACCTGCAGAGTCCTGGCGGCGGGTGGGTCCCTCAGTTTACCTCTGAAGGACACCGGGCTCCGCGGGTAGGCGGCGGCTCATAGTACAGCCTCTGTTGGAGCCCTCGCCCGCCCGACCGCCGGGTCCGTGAGCTTTTCTGTAGGAAGCGCACCGCCGGCGGGTGCTCTTTACCACGCCCTCCGCCCCGCACCCAGGTCCTCCCGGTGATTCACACTGTACAGTCCATAGAGGCAGCGTCACATGTGTTACCTCGCCTTCCAGCAGCTCTATGATTAGGTCAGGGGTGGGCTTGCCTGTGCACCAAGCCACGATTACCACCTGTTTTTGTAAATAAAGGTTTATTGGAATATAGCCAATTGCAAGGGGATGAGAGTACCAGCTACCTCCTGGTGTAATTGTGGGAATTCAATGAGGTCATGTGTGTATAGTGCTCAGCACAACCCGTGCTGTGTAACTATTAGCCGTTATTATTAAGGTCTGTTCTGGTTCTGAGACTCCAACTTTGGCTGCTCAGTTTGTATGCATATGATGCTATAATATCTTTAATACGTGACCTCAGCCAGATCCAGATGTAGGATATTCTGCTACAGGGCAAATGATGTTGTTTTTCTAACAAATCAATGGCATGAAAAAGATGGAGGCAAAGGAGACTTGAAAGACACCTTTGGGGAAATCTGAATATGGATTGAGTATTAGGTGAAATTAATAAATTGTTTATTTTGTTAGGTGGGATGAAGCATGATATTTATGTAAACAGAAAAGCTCTTATCAATTAGAGATGCATATTGAAGTACTGAGAACTGAAAAGACAATGTCTGCTATTTAGTTCAAAAGATTACAGCCAAAAACATAACAATAAAACAGGCATCTATGAAACAACACTGACAAAATGTTGGTAGTTGTTGAAGTTTCATGACAAGTTTTGGGGGGTGTTTATCAGACTGTGCTGTGTTTTATATATGTCTGGATACTTCCATAATAAAAATTTTTAATGTGTCTTTAAAAATAGGCTGACCATTTTGAGTTTATTCTTGAGTATGGTGTAAATTGGTGATCTAGTTTCATCTTCTTGCAGGGGTCTGTACAGTTTCCCAGCACCATTCGTTGAAGAGACTGTCTACTCCCTTGTATGTTCTTACCTCCTTTATTAAATATTAATTGACCATAATGGATTGATTTATTGGATGTCTGTTCTGATTCATTGGCTTATACATCTGTTCTTGTGTCAGTACCAGGCTTTGATTACAATGGCTTTGTAGTATAGTTTGATATCTAGTATTGTGATCCATCCAACTTTGTTCTTTCTCAAGATTGCTGTGGCTATTTGGAGTCTTTTTTGGTTCCATATAAATTTTTGGAGTATTTATTCTAATTCTGTGAAGTATGCTATTGGTATTTTAATAGGAATTGTATAGAATCTATAGATTGCTCTGGGTAGATGGACTTTTTAATGATGTTAATTCTTCCAATCCATGAACATGGTACACACTTCCCCTTGTTTGTATTTTCTATTTTTTTCTCTCCAACATCCTATAGTTTTTCTAGTATAGGTCTTTTATCTTCTTGGTTAAGTTTATGTAAGAAATGCTCACTGTCTGAATTCAAGCAAAGGACTCAGACAGAAATATGGTGAAAATGAGGCTTTTAATACACTCTCCAGAGTGGGTGTCCCATTCGGTTATATAGGCACACCTGGGGCAGCAAACATAGCCCATTTATTCAGTCCCTCCTCATTGGCTGGAGGGGTCTTCTTTTCCTCCATACATCACCTATGTCTTGCTCTCTCCCATTGGGTCATTTAAAAAAAATTGGGCTGAGGCCTTCTCTAGCTGCCTCCACCTTCTGTCTAGCTGAGGCAGGCCCCTCAGGGAGTTTCCACCATGATGCTGGCCTACATGCACAGTTCTTCGTTCTTACATTCTCTTTCTTCCACCCTACATTCTATTTGCCTTGGAGAAATTCAGCAAATTCTATCAAAAGCCGACCATACTGGAGATGGATCACAGAGGTCCATTTCCTACAGTTTATTCCTAGGTGACTATATATATATATATATATATATATATATATATATATAGTTTTTTTAGATTCTCTTTCTGAAATTTCATCTATATATAAAAACCTAAGTGACCATCGCAACCAAACGGATGACTGAACAGGCTGCATGGGACGACCAAGTTGGCGGGGGGGTTAGTGAGGGGTGACCAAATGCCTGAGTAGCAGGCTGTGTGGGGCGACCGGGCCCATATGGGGGGCAGTTGGGGGTGACAAGGCTGGGGGGGGGGTGAGGGGAGACCAGGCCAGCAGGCAGGGCAGTTGGGGTGACCAGACTGGAGGGGTGGGGGGGCAGTTAGGGGCAACCAGACTGGCAGGGGGGTGAGTTGGGGGTGACCAGACCAGCAAGGATGGGCAATTAGGGGTGATCAGGTAGGCAGGCAGGTGAGCAGTTAGGAGCCAGTGGTCCCAGATCGTTGGACATCCCCCAAGGGGTCCTGGATTGGAGAGGGTGCAGGCTGGGCTGAGGGGACCCCCCCCACCCTGTGCACAAATTTCATGCACCAGGCCTCTAGTTATTGGTATATAAAAATGTCATCAATTTATGTGTATTGATTTTGTATCCTGCTACTTTGCTGAATTTATTTATTAAATCTAGTAATCTTGAAACACCTATCAGAAAGAATATGTGCACCCTTATGTTTATAGCAGCATTATTTGCCATAGCTAAAATTTGGAAACAGCCCAAGTTACCATCAATAGATCAATGTATAAAAAGCTGTGGTACATTTACAATAGAACACTATCAGCTGTAAAAAAGAAAGTTCTCTTACCCTTTGAGACAGCATGGATGGACCTGGAAACTATCATGCTAAGTGAAATAAACCAATCGTGGAAAGATAAATATCACATGATCTCACTTATTTGTGGAATCTGATGAACAAAATGAATTAATCAACAAAATAAGACCTGAGACATGGAGACACAGAACAGACTGACATATCTCAGGGAGTTGGGAGGAGCTATTGGATACTGGGGAGTAAACATTGTCTGACAACCTTCTGTATACATCTCAGTGTCTTTTGTGGTTTTTATTTTATTTATTTTTTGCATCGTTTCCTTTGAAGTCTTTTCACAATGGCTTTAACAAACTTCCTGCAAACAAAGTATCTGAAACAAAACATTTATTTGAAGATACTTCCTCAACAAACACTGAGATCCCAATAATAGCTAATGTTAGTATGCACTGTGCTGTGAGTAACATCTCATTTAACCCCATAACCATCCCATAAAGTAAAAAAGGCTATTCCCCCTATTTAATAGAAGTCAGGAAAACTGCATGAACTTGCTACATTTGTGGCGACCACACCCATGTTTAGCAGGACGGGATTAGATGATGTTCCATGTCCTTCCATCTCTGATGTTCTGGATTTTAAATTCTCTATTGGGTTTAACTGCTTTCTTTCCTATAACAATATACTCTATGAGCATGTATGTCCATGGGGAGGTGAACAGATGTTAGACGCATAGTTCTCATATTCTTTTACATTCTTTGATTCAACAAACATTTATTGAGCCTACCTGCACCAGACATCTCGCTGGTGCTGGGTGCAGAAATGAGTGAGATGCGGCCACTGCCCTGGTGGGACACGCTCACCGCTGGATTTCTTAGATCCAGGCCGACTGCTCTTAGAGCAGGGCTTTTAGGTTTGTATTTTTCCTACATGCCCTATTTTAAAGAACAAATAGCTAAGTAAAACATAAATATCGTTATGTAATACCTTTACATGTAGAGACCCAAAATTTAAAAGTTTAAATAAAAAGTAAAGAAATGCAGATCTGTAATATTCTCATTGATTTTCATGTCATAGAGATAAGAGTGGGCTAGGGATCAGGAAGCCCAAACCAGGCCCTTTTGTTCATTGGGCAAATCCACGAACATCTCCGGACCTCAGTTTCCCCATATGGAAATCATCATAGCAACAACTACTCTGTGTGTCTCAGAACATTGTGAGGAAAATGCTTCACTAAAAGGAAGCAATTACAATTACTTGTAAAATGAAGTGACTTACCCTGAGGTTCTTTGGTTTTATATAGTTTGGGCTTTAGAGAGAGAGGGAGGTGATAACCCAAGTGATGCAGGAGCACGGGCTGGCAGGCTCCAGGGACAGCTGTTTAAGCCCGAGCGCCTCGTGCCCTCAGCCAGCCCTTGGTTACATCCGATGTCTATGGAACTGGCTCTGATCCCTCCAACAGGAAGCCCTCACACTTCATGGGCCAATGATTTCCCTGGAGGAACTTTTTCTATGGGGCGTATCCCAGAAGACAATCTATATAAGGTCTTCTTGCCTTTTCCACCCAGTGGTTGTTTGAAGAAAAAAAAAAAAAAAAAAAAAAAAAGGAAAGCAGAGACGATCATTCATATTTGGAAGTCTAGTATTTGGCTTTATGGTGGGAATCCTAGGCTAAAACTTTGGAGGCAGAAGAGGCCTTTCTTGTGGCATCCACCAGGTGGCACCAGATCCCTAGTTTACTCGGCCCATTTCAGGGGCCACAGCTGAAGACCGGCCTTGGAAGGCAGGGAGAGAAGAAAAGGCATTGGCTCTGGGTTGTAGGCGGGGAAACAGATGGATACAGATACATGCACTGACATGAGAACAGGTTAAAAGTCGGTGTAACAAGCCCTAAGTAAGAAAGCTCACACAAACAATGCAGTGCTGGCTGCCAGGGAGAAGGCAGGGGTGGGTAGGTGGGTTGCAGGAGCTCAGGAATCCTGGCTGGAAGTGCTGAGCAGTGGCTAGTGGGGAGAAGGTGGATGTCCCGGGAAGCAGCTCCCTGAGTAAGCCTGCCAGGCCCCTCCCTCCTCAGTAGCGATGGGGACTAGACTCTGGGAGATGACTTAGTTCCTTCCCCAGAAGTAGTACAGGGCCCAAGGGCCAGGGCCTGGGGAAGCCTGAGCTGTGAAGGACTTGAAGACCAGAAGGTGGTGGAGTCTTAGGAGCAGCAGGTGTGAAGGTGCAGGTGTGAGGGCAGACTTAGGAGACGGCTGAGGCCGGTGAGTGTGGAGGAGGGATGCAGAGGGAAGGGCAGGGTTCTTGGCCCCTGGGAGCCTTGAAAAGACTACCATTCAGGCCCTACCTGGTTTGGCTCAGTGGATAGAGCGTTAGCCTGCGAACCGAGGGCTCCCAGGTTTGATTCCTGTCAAGGGCATGGACCTTGGTTGCAGGCACATCCCCAGTAGGGGGTGTGTAGGAGGTAGCTGATTGATGTTTCTGACTATTCTCTCTTTCTCTCTATAAAAAATCAATAAAATATATGTAGTTGAAAAAAGAAAGATTACCAATCAGAAGGATGAACCGGAAACTGCAGAGACTGATTCTCTACGGGGGATAGTCTGACAGGGGCAATAAGATGAGGGAGTGGGAACTGGGAGTAGGAATGAGGGGCGGGACACTTGCCCGAGTCTGGCTCTCAGAACCACTGTGATGCTCCAGCACCCTTCACAGGCCCACTATAAACATTTCTGACACTTCTCTGTGACACTATTCTGTGGATATGCTAACACTGAACAGCTAAGTCACGCTGAGGACAATGAGGGCGGGATTAGCACTGCTGGAGGGAGAAGTTACCAATGAGGAAGGGGAAAGCTAAAGTGAACCTCAAAGTTTCTCTCCTGGGGACAAGTCACACGGCCTCTTTCTGGGGAGGTGTGAGGACTGGAGCACTGCTCTCCCGGGTCAGCAGAGGGGCTAGCACATGTGAGGCCCCAAGGAACACTGTTCTCCAACTTGGATGGAAAGCCTGCCTCATGCCTCACACACAACTCCCGTGCTAATTACTGCATCTCTCTCATCCACTCAATATCCACTCAGACGTTCTCTCTCAAAACAACTGGGTGTTGAGTAGGGTTGCCAGATTCAGCAAATGAAGACATAGAACACCAGTTAACTATGAGTTTAGTACAAACAATGAACTACTTTTTTTAGTGTAATATGTCCCAAATAGTACATATGCTACTGGGGAATTAAGCATTATTTGTCGTATACCTGAAACTCAGTTGTAGCTGGGCACTGCTGTACCTGGTACACTAGTTTTGAGGAGTGGCAACTGGGCTCTGCCTCCCGTTGCTGGTGTCTCCCTCTGCCCCCAGTGGAGAAATAGTCTCGGATGAGGATTATACTCCAACTGCCATAAGCCTTACCAGCGGGTGTACGTGAATAAAGCGATGTTGACAAACACAAAGGCCTGATTTCTGACCTGTTTACAGGCCTCCCTGGCCCCTCGGCAATGATCTCCTGCCCAGGTGCTTCTGGGAGTTCCCAGAGGTGTTTCTTCCAGCTGCTCTCAAACCAGCCTGCAAGCTCTGCCCCACTGTGTCCCCTCCGTTTCCAACGCCCCTCGCTAGTGTCTGCCGACGCCTAGCTATTGGGAGTCTACATCCTTGCCAAGGCTGATCTCTCCCGAAATGGCTTCCAAAACCAAAGTCAGTGAGGGCTGGTCCCAGGCAGAGGTGGGAGGGTGCCCTCCCCACTGCCTCGCTCCTCTGGCCCTGGCGCCATGCCTCCCCAGGCTCTCACACCTGACCCCTCGCCTTTCCCCAGAGGCTCACTCCCCGCTTGAAGCCTTTGTCCTGCACGACATCTCCTACCCAGAAGCTTTAGACATAGTCATCATACTAATGACCTTTTATTTTTAAAAAGAAAAGTTATAACAAAAATATATACATCATCCATATATCCACATTTCATTTTTTTCTCAAGAAACTTTAGTTGCAAAAATGGCTGGAACATAAATGGACACAAAGGACCACAGTGACTTGCAGAAAGCAGATGAGAGGAACCGACCGTCTGGTTTTCATTCTAGAATCAGGTTCGGGTTGAAAGCTTTGGCCCGCACATTTTTCATCTCCTCCAGCACTTTTTCTGCTGTCTTCTCTGCTGGTTGTGCCTGGTCTCTCACCTCTCTGAATATCAAAGAACCAGACAAAGATACATCAGGGCACTCACAGAACACCTGAGCTTACTAATGCCTCAGTGGAGGTTTAAGGAATCGATATATATATATATATATATATATATATATATATATATATATCTCCTATCTAATAAAAGAGTAACATGCAAATTGACCATCACTCCAACATACAAGATGGCTGTCCCTTGTGGCCAAAGATGGCTGCCCCCATGTGGACACAAGATGGCCATCAGGGAAGAGCAATTGGGAGGGACCAGGCCTGCAAGGGAGGGCAGTTGTGGGCAATCAGGCCAGTGGAGGAGAGCAGTTGGGAGCAATCAAACCTGCAGGGGAGGGCAGTTAGGGGTGACCAGGCCAGCAGAGGAGGGAAGTTGGGGGTGATTGAGCCTACAAGAAAGGGCAATTGGGAGGGACCCAGGCCTGCAGGGGAGAGCAGTTGGGGGGACAAGGCCTGCAGGGGAGGGCAGTTAGGGGTGACCAGACCTACAGGGGAGAGCAGTTAGGGGTGACCAGGCCTGCAGGGGAGGGCAGTTAGGGGTGATCAGGCCTGCAGGGGAGGGCAGTTAGGGGCAAACAGTCTGGCAGGGGAGTGGTTAGAGGGAGATTAAGCTGGCAGGGGAGTAGTTGGAGGGTGATTAGGCTGGCAGGCAGAAGCAATTAGGGGCAATCAGGAAGGCAGGCAGGTGAGTAGTCCTGGATTGTGAGAGGGATGTCTTACTGCCCATGGTCAAAATGGAAAAGCAAATCTCAGTGTGGGGCATGCAGGAGATAGCCAATCAATGATTCTCTGTCATCACTGATGTTTCTATTTCTCTCTCCCTCTCCATTCCTCTCTGAAATAAAGTGTAAAATACCAAATAATATGACCTAATTAGTTTGACTCATTAGATAAAGCGTTGACCTGGGGACTAAAGGGTCCCAGGTTCGATCCAATCAAGGACACATGCCTGGGTTGTGGGTTCGATTCCCAGTGTGGGACATGCTGGAGACAGCCAATCAATGATTCTCTCTCATCATTGATGTTTCTATCTCTCTCTGCTTCTTTGAAATCAATAAAAAATATATATTAAAAAGACAAACCAATATAAATAATATGATTGAATTTTGATAAAATATATGTATATTTATTTACTTAAATAAATAAATATTTGGAGGACCATACATCAAAATGTATGTGGTAGGGTTATGTTTTTATTTTATTCTTTATATATTTTTTAGTTTTTAAAAAAATATGTTTTATTGATTTCAGATAAAGGAAGGGAAAGGGAGAGTTAGAAACATTAATGATGACAAAGAATCATTGATCAACTACTTTCTGTGCACCCCCTACTAGGGATTGGGCCCGAAAGTAGGCATATGCCCTGACCAAGCATGAACTCCTGGTTCATGGGTTGACCCTCAACCACTGAACCACACCAGCCAGGCAGTTTTTGATTATTTTTAATAATAAAAAGTATTTTTATTTTTAAACTTATGAACCATATGAACAACATGTGGTTGTGTCCATTATAAAAATACTAGAGGCCTGTTGCATGTAGAAATTCGTGCAATAGGCCTTTCTTCCCTTGGCTTCCAGCACCGGCTTTCCTCCGGCACCCGGGACCCCGGCCTTTGCTCTGGCTGGAGTCTGCTGCCTTTGTTTTCATTGCTGCGCTGCAGACTCTGGCCAGAGTCTGCCATCTTCATCTTTGCTGCAGACTCAGGAGTCTGCAGTCTTCGTCTTTGCTGTGCCAGAGTGCCACTCATGTAGATCCTTTCATCTCCCCACTCCCTCTCATAGCAGGTGTCCTGCTGCGCCAGGCCACTCGGTGCCTGGAGCAGTTGGGCAGCCGCCATCTTTCTCCTGATTGGCTGGTGGACATAGGGGAGTGATGGTTAATTTGCATGTTTCTCTTTTATTAGTGTAGATTAATCAATACCAGTTTCTTTAAGGATGATTATGTTTGCTTAGCTGGTTGGTCCCTGATGTAGAGGCAAAGGGAGACATCAACATCTGCCAAGCATCTGGTTCACATCTACCAACTAGCTTGGTGTCTTCACATTTGAGTCTTATTTAATCCTCACAACTGCCTGGGAGAGTTTGTGTTCTGCACGTTACAAATGAGGAAACTGAGACCCGGTTACCAAAGGTAAGTAACCTGGCTGGTGATCTCACATGTCATAAATGGTGGAGTTGGGACTCATATGGCTCATTTGCCTCCAGAGCCTGGAATGAAACTCCTTTCATGTGGGATGAAACTCCTTCACTATCAATAAGAAACAAACAGATCTCTGAGAGAAGCAACTGGAAAAATTGGATTCAGTTTTTAAAGGCATATTTGCTAACAGCATTTAAAAGAATGCAGTGTGCCTAAAATAAAATACACATCTAATTATCAAAAGCACAGGAAACCTCTCTCTTAAAACTTGAGATATGTGGATTCAGACAACATGACAGTTCTGTGGTTCGTGTTGGCCAAATTTTATCCAAGGCCCCCTCTTAGTAGGCATAAAAGCATCCACTTACTTCTCCTTTTTGCTGTCCCTGTGGTCCAACATAGAGAATTCCACTTCGATCATTTCTGGAGTCAACATAATTTCCATATTCTGTTCACTGAGAAGGAATAAGAAAACTGTTTTTGTTCTCAAAATAAAAGAGAGAAATACTGAATCATTTAAGAGTTAGCAACTCTTGTGGTCTTCAATGTTAGTTCTACCTACTTGTGTTGAGTCCGTGTTAAGAGAAGCAGAGGACTGATAAATTGCTTTCTACCACTGAACAATAGTAGGAGTCATTATTTATTACCAGAGTATAAAAAGCAATTTCAAAAACAGGATTACAGAATTCATGTTCTTTTCAAGTATACACGGAACATTTACCAATACTGACCATATCCTGGCCTATAAAAAAAGCCTAAATAAGTTCCAAAGATTAAAATCATTGAAGTACAATCTCTAGCCACGATGGAATTTGAACAGAATTCAATTGCAAAGAAGATAACTAAAAAAATAAATCCATAACTGTTTGAAAAATTAAACAATATGTTTGTAAATAACCTATGGGTGACAGAAGAAATTAATATATTTGGTCTGCTATCCCTTAGACTGGGAGTCAGCACGCTTTTTCTGTAAAGGGTTTGCAGGTCACACAGTCTCTTGTATAAGTATTCAACTCTGCTTTTTGTAGCATGAAAGCAATGAGAAAATACTCAAATAAATGTGTAAGGTTACGTCAAGGTGAAACTTTACTCACGGAAGCAGGGGGCAGGCCAGCTTTGGTTGTGGGCCAGTTGGCTGGCCCCTGGGCCAGAGCTTTGCAGCTTGCTGGTTACAGCCGGGCCGCTGCACAGATCAGCGGGAGCAGGGGAGGGGGCGGGGTGTGGAGGAGGCACACTCACTCCGTGAAGGGCTCTGACCTCAGAAGTAGAAAAGCTCACGTGTGCTCACAGTTCTTTGGCAAGGGCTTAGTCAAATGGATGGCTTAACTGCAGGGGAGGCGGGGAAATAATAGCTCCTAGTTTTGCCAACTCTGTTACTTTAGAAGAGGAGAATGGATTGCTTGATAGCATCCCTCTCCACCATACTTCGCTAAAGGGAAATGCTTCCAAGATCGCCAAAGGCGACGAAGGCCTCAAGGTTTGGATCCACAAACAGGAACATATTCAGCCGTGAGACAGGACTGGAGGTGGGCCCAGCAGGTTTCTGTTAAGAAAAGCACTTGCAAAAGCTGCAAAAGTTGTGGCAGTCCCATACGGTTGAGGTTAACAATTACTAAGCAGCTGCTATATGCAAATCACTATACTGCTTTGGAAACATGACCTTCCCATTAGCAGATTCCTCACCTCTAAAGCGGGGATGATAACAAGAGCTGATCCTGGAGATTAAATGGGCCAAACTGGCACCCGATCCACACTGACAGCTCAGCAAATGTGTTACTATAGTTACCACCCTCATCATTAGCGTCATCCTCTCCTTCAACTGACAACCCTCTATGAGGTGGCACTATTATTCCCATTTCAAAGGTGGGGAAACCGAGTCACAGTAGTCTTCACATCGGCAGTGAATGGAGGAGGGGTTAGCTATGTTTTGGTTTGCTGAGCGCTCCCCAATGGCTCTGCCAGCAGGACCTGTTCCGCTGATCCTCAAGCAAGTGTTCACCTGGTGGCCGCAGCCGGGGCAGGAACGCCCCCAGGCGGTGGTTTGAATAGAAGACACTTCAGCCTTCCCATTCAGACTTGGACTCCTGCTTTAGATGCCCAGGTATTGCCCAGTGTCACTGCACGTGGGCAGGTCTAAGGAAAAGTGATGCCAGGAGGTCAGCTATGTCTCAGATACTGGGCATTTCACTAACTGATTATTTATGTATAAAAATGCGTAAGTGGGCACAGTGATAGAAGATTCAAGGACAGGTTTCCACTGGCTGTTGCATGCTCATCAGTAAAATGAAACATAAGTGCCTTGGTTTCGAGCCTATGTTTTTTTAATCCAAGTCTTACCTGTCTTTTTTTCTCCCCCCCCCATGCTTTGCTTTTTATTTGTTTAATTGATTAATTAATTAATTAATTTTTATTTCTTTATTGATTATGGTATCACATAATTGTCCTCATCCCCCCATTCCCATCCCAAACCCCTCCCCATGCATGTCCCTACCCCCGTGTTGTCCTTGACCACTGGCTAGGCTCATATGCACGCACACAAGTCCTTTGGTTGATCTCTCTCCCTTATCCCCACCCTCCCCTACCTTCCCTCTGAGGTTTGACAGTGTGATTGCTGCTTCCCTGTCTCTGGGTCTGTTTTTTTGTTCATCAGTTTATGTTGCTCATTATTTCCCCTGGATGCGTGAGATCGTGTGATACAATAAATACCCTTGTAAGAACTGAAATTGAGACCAGCCATAATCTACCTGTCTTTCAAGTACTGACCCAAGTCCACACGACCACTGAAGTCTTCCAGCCCACCCGCACTGCCTCTGCTCTCCCCTCCCTGGAGCTCCCAGACACCCAATGATCAGCACATGTGAGACCTAGAGTCTGTGTATTCTCCCAAAGAATTTGGCATCTTATCTATTTAGGGGTTCGCCGGCGCGAGCCTGGTCTCATTTGGGTTGCAAGCTCAGGCATCACATGCTCTTCTGAAATCTCTCCCAGCACCAGCATAACTGGGGAAAACAGACCATGTTAGAGACAAAGGTGAAGACTGTACCGTTCCACCGTATCCAGTCTGTCCTCTTCTGGTAAGGCGCTGAGAATCGCAGGGACTTCTATAGGAAGCATGACTGAATTGAGGGAGTCACAGCTGTGGGAGAATCACACGAGCAGCCAAAGGTAAACGATCACGTTAGCGGTCTTGGGGTCTTTGCATAATTTCCTAAAGCACATTCGTTGTACCCCGCGGAGGCCTTTTCCATTCTGTCCTCCTTCGCTCCCGAAATCCCACTTACGTTTTCCTCGGGGCAACGGCAGGGGGTGTGACAGGTCCCAGGCAAATCCAAGAATATGTTGCCAAATAAGACATTTCTCAGGGTTCAGAAACAGATTTTTTTTTTTAAGAAAGAAGGGAAAGTAAGAAAAATACATATGTTCTGCTTAGCATTATAAAGAGAAACAAAGGATGGGCAAGTTAGAAGTTCTAGCTGGTTACCACAAGTTAGAAGATCTAGCTGGGAGACGGGAGGGTGACATTGTTCTGCATGCCTTTCCTGTACTTTTGAGTTTGGAAAGCACGTCAATGCTCTACATATAAAAAAAAATAACATTAAATCTAGAAAAAGAAAGAAAAGAAAAAACTCTAGACTGAAACAAATAATGTTTCGCATGAATTCTATAATCACACTGGAGGGAAAGAGGAGAGAGAGAGGGAGAAAGAGGAAGGGAGGGAAAAGGTGAAGGAAGGTGGAAAGAAGTAATCCAAACAGTTTATAAATATCGTACTTGACTATCACTGAGTAGTCGGATTATTAAGATCTCTGAATGCATAATAATCTGGCCACTCAGTGTATACTTCCTGCTTTGAATGTGGAGGGGGTAGGGGAAAACTACAAATCAATCTGAACTCTGTTGTGCTTGCTTATTAGGATGGTCACAGGTGCAGTGATTCTGAGATGAGTTTAGATGAGCTGTAACACTGAGTAAATGTGCTAGGAGCCAGGGTTCTCACAGGGAGAGAGGGAGAGAAGGAACATGCAAAAATGAGTGGGGGAAGGAAGCAATACTCTATGGATAGATAATTTATATAAGCACTGGTGTGAACTCTTGATTTCTGATATGTATACTGTATATGTACAGGTGCTTATGTGCACATGCATTCATACACATGTACACACTGTGTGTGTGTGCGCACAGTGTTTTGGTATGTACATGTATATATATATGTGTGTGTGTGTGTATTCCCTAGATATACACCTAGCTTATCTGTAGAAGAGGCCAAGAAAGAAGCCCCTCCCCCTACTCTCTCCTCCCACCCCCCAAGTCCCCATCGGGGCAATGTGTATGCGGAGCGCCCGATATTGGCTTTCCCAGGGAGTGGCTTACTGCCTGACTATGGCAGGGTGCAGGTTCTAGCTGACAGAGCACTGGGCCTCCCACCCCCCTCCGCCCCGGGGGACAGTCAGGGTGTCCTGTCCAGAAGAGGCCCAGTAGTTGCAAGCCACGACTATCTCCAAAGCAGGCAGGGCTGGGAAGACGGAATGGCAGCCACCACGTGCTTTCCCTGATGACCCGATTTTAAAGTTTTGATACTATGTTCCTCTTACTTGTTTTTTGTTAATCCTCACCTGAAGATATTTTTTTTTCCATTGCTTTTCAGAGACAGTGGGAAGGAGGGAGGGAGAGAGACATTAACTGGCTGCCTCCCGTACTAGGCCTGAATCAAACCTGAAACCCAGGTACATCCCCTTGACAGGGAATCAAACCTGCGACCCTTCAGTGCCCAGGTTGGTGCTCTGACCACTGAGCATACCAGCCAGGGCTCCTCTTACTTTTCTATGTTAATATGTTCTTCTGAAACTGAAGTAATGGCAACAACAGAGGGTGGGTGGGGGTTTTGCTCTGCTTTGCTTGTTTTAAAGCCTTAGTTGACACAGTAAATGCTGACAATGCCAAAGCAGTCCCCAAACCCCTCTGGCCATTTCACTCACCTGTCAAACCCAGGGGCCTGGGCACTGGACTAGATAACTCATTCAGTTGCTGTCGACTCTCAGATTTTATGAAAGTCCTAGAGATTCAACAAATTCTTTCTACACTCACTAAAGAGTAAAGAAACCAAGTTGAGCTGTTTTGATTATTCTGAATATCAAAACGACTTGGAATACACACTAACTACATCATACGGTTTAACAACAAACGGGTAACTCTCAGGGGGAAAAGATAAAAGGGAAACACCTCATAAGTAACAAGTAATTTATTTAAGCAAAGTTGAAGTATCATTAATGGATTTATAGGAATGTAAAAAGAAATGTCATTATTTTATAACTCCTATTAGAAATAATAATAAAAAAAAACCCTCCATCATCTAGAATCTTATATCATGAAAACCCAGGATAAGGAATATAGAATCCTCTTTTGACTTTATAATGTTACCAGTTATGGTTTATTCGGAAACAAACTGGCCTAACAGAGCACCCAGACCGGAAGCTGAAAGTAACAACTCATGGTCAGGACCTTTCTTTAATTCACGTAGAATTTGTGTTTAATTCATGGTTAAGTCAAGCCCCAGGTCACTGTGTTCTGACTGCTTTTTGAAAGAACAGCCTCGGGAGATTCCCCCCTTAGTTCTGGAGACCTGTGTGTGTGGGGGCCAGTTGGTGGGCACAGGTAGTCACCACCTCTCCCCATTCCTCATCTTGCTGAGCCAGCCTCCTGGCGGTACCCCACACCCAGCCACGTTTACGGACTGTGTGGGTCAGGTTTGAAGTGTCCTTGCCCCACAGCACAATGAGGCAGGCGCTCAGGTGGTGGCAGACAGTCGCCATCCAGTGGCAACAGGGGGACTGCAAGCTGTGGTGGGTGGGAATGGAAGGGAAAAGAGAGGAAGTTACTAAAGATGGTGCTAATGCTTCACACCATCATTTTACTTTAATCCGCACGACGGCGGGGGAGGATGCCCTCACCATGACTGTGTCACAGGCAGGGAAACTGCAAAGGGCTTCAGTAACAAGCGATGCGCCCAAGGACATCGAGCTGGTACAGCTAGCAAGCAATGGAGGCAGGTCTCTCAGACGCCAGCACGTTGTTCTCTCTACGGTGTCACTGTGTCACTGTGTCACTGCCATTATGGAGATCTCGGGCTTTGGAGATATGCTCAGTGGAGCTCAGAGAGGCTTAGTTTATTCTGAGGTGGCCGTGGTGGGTGTGGTATGAATAAATGCATAGAAAAAGAACTACTGTTTTTGGACTCCTACATGTCCTATGCTTGGTGTCATGGACTCTCCAGGTAAGGAGGAGGATAGAGACGCACTAAGGAGAAACCACAAAGGGGTGGTGTTCGGAAAATCTCTGGAAGCAAGTCTGGATTTTCCTTAATTCAGGAAAAGCTTTTCCGCAGGCGAAGAAGGAAGAAGTAAATGAAGTGTTCTGGAGTCACACATTGGATTTCAACTCAGCTGGCCCCTCCAACCCCGGGGGGCAGTGGAGGAGCTACACCTGAGGCTGCTGCGCCCTGGGTAAGCTCTCCTCCTCCTCCTAAAGGAAAATGTCAAGGCTGAGAAGGGTCTTCTCCACAAGTCCAATCCTCTCCCTCTGGGCCAGAGGGCTGGGCTCAGAGGTGTGTAGCTGAGTTACAGCCCCCCGGAGGCAGCAGTGGGCGTGGCATTCTGCTGAGGGAGAGCAACTGGACACACTCTAGGGAGGAGGGGAAGAGGGTCAGGGGGAGGAGGAGGGGAAAGAAAGTGGGGGAAGACCACCCGCTGATCCTGGTTGGTGGCAGAGCAGAGCTCGGTTTTCTTGACCGAACCCGGGGCCATGGCAGGCTCTGTCACCTTGGGGTGGGCCTCATTCTGAAGCAAGGATTTGAACATAAGGTGATAACAATCATTCCAGGATGCTGGTCAAATTTTCTCACCAACAACTTATTTAACTATGTTTATAAGGACAATGAACTAAAGATGCAAATTCAAGGGTTCGGAAGTGGGTTCTTGATCAGGCGGAGCCCTGAAGAAAAGGCAGCAGGCTTCTGGTTTGGTATCTCGGGACTTGAAGAGGTGGTGTATAAACCAATTAGAGGACAGGGATGGCTCTAAATTTCTTTGGTCCAACAATATTCTCATCTCCCCATTCTGCGCCTGGAGCTGAGCGACAGGCTGAATCGGAGCTGAGCTGTGTCTCTGTAAGATGATGACGGTGGGCCTCGCTGTGGCTCTCTCACAGGCTGTGGTGTGAGGGAAACATGGATCCTTTGGGACCGGACCGGGATGGTGTAGAAGGTTCATTTTGGCAATTTTAAAATGTGGAGAATGAACCAGGAATATTTCAGCTGAATTAAATGGATTGGTTGTTCACTTTTATTAAAATACGGCCAACTGTGACACTAGTTGTTTTTATTATTTTATTTTTTTAAAATATATTTTATTGATTTTTTCACAGAGAGGAAGGAAGAGAGATAGAGAGTTAGAAACATCGATGAGAGAGAAACATAGATCAGCTGCCTCCTGCACACCCCCTACTGGGGATGTGCCCACAACCAAGGTACATGCCCTTGACCGGAATCAAACCTGGGACCTTTCAGTTCGCAGGCTAACACTCTATCCACTGATCCAAACCGGTGTTGGCAGACACTAGTTGTTTTTAAAGTTATTTAAGACCAATTCAAAATTTGAAAAGTAGTGTACATCATCTTTTTTGGTGACTAGCTGACTTCCCTCATGAATTAAGAAAGCATCACCTGACATCGGTTGGCATGTCACGCTTTGGGACAGCAGCCTCCAAGACGGATAAGCTGAGCTTACCTCGATGTTGTCTCTGTTTTGAAGGTGTCGGGCAGAGATGAGAGGACATGGGGCTGGAATTTCTTCCAGTGCATTACTCCGGGTATAATGTCCTGGAATGGGAGCCAGCACAGGGCACGACATGTAAAGGAACTGTTTGGTGAGGCGAAGTCTAGGACGGACTTTCATTTCATTCAGTTGACTATAGTTTATGCTCAAATATTAATTCCAAAATTTATAATTTCATTCAGTTTGATTGAATTTGTATGACAACTGCTTCAGCAAAAGGCATTCGACGGTGCAGCACACAATTAACGTGGGGCCAATGGAACTCCTCCCCGCTCTCCCTCCCCCAATTCATTAGACACATCATGATCCAGCAGGCTCTGCGGGGAGGGCAGATGTGGCCTTATCATCTGTTTGGTTATTGGGACTGTGTGCTGAAGCCACAGTCAGAGAGGCTGGTGGTGCATCAAAGGGCATGTAGTCAGGGGAAGTACCTGCAAGGGCAGGGAGGTGCAGGGGTGCTACCAGGAGGGCGCCAGCTGGGATGACAGTGAGGGGGACAGGGCTGCAGAGAATAGGACTGGAGAGGCGGGCTGGTTAGGAAAGGCCTGGGGCCAGGCTAATGAGCTTGGAGCTAGTCCCACAGGCAGCAGGACCACGGAGAGGGTTCGAACTAAAAATAACGTGAGTGGAGGGATGTGCACTGAAGGAAGTTTTCTAGAGAGGCCTGACAGCACAGTGGTGGCTGCGGGGGGAGTAGAGGGAGATTCAAAAGCTTTTGGGGCAGACTGGTAGAACCCAGTGATGGTGAGATACTTGAGGGCGAAGTAGGGATCAGGGGTCACATGGGCCATTGCACAAATCACAGAACAAAAAGGTCAGGCAGGAGGAGGAGCTGTTTGAGGTGTAGTTGGCCACAGGAGGGCATCGATAATGAGTGAAAAGATCCTGAGGGCAACTCCCAAGAGATGTCACTGGATATTCAGATTGGTTATCTGGGGGAAGAAGGAATTCTTTGGAGTCTCTTCCTTAATGTGCATTTGTCATATTGGGGATAAAGAAAGAGGCAATCAGGCCATGAGGTTATGCCTGCCATGTGATGGTGTTTTCGTGGTTGAAATAGGAATAAAAATGCAGAGTGGTGTCATCTTCAAGGAAAAGAGAGTGGAATGTAAAAAAGGGCGACTTGCAGCCGGAGAGGTGGGTAAGGATGGGGCCAGAATGGTGTTGCATCTTCCCTTGGACCTCTGGAGGGCTGTGGGCATAAGAGTGCACATGGCCATCGCTGTTAGCTTTCTTGTTCCGCAGCTGTGGCTGCAAACCTTCTTTGTCTCAATTCCAGGGGTGCCCCCATCCATATTCCCTGTCCTTCCCTGCAGCCCGGGGCCAGCTCTGCCAGCGCGTGGGGACGGCATTACCGTGTGATGGAGAAACTGTTTCTGGGTGACAGGAATGCTGGACCCAACGTGGGACGCCTTGGTGTACTTGTACTTGGGGTGAGTACACAGATGGTAATCCATCGAGGTTTCTGTGTAGGTCAGAGGGTGCATCACAGCAAACAATCCTGGGTTGGGATTCTGCAGGAGAGAGAGAAAACGATTCTCCTTTTTTGACTGGCCTGAGAGCCAGGCGGAAGGCAGGCACCGCTAACGTTCTCGGGGCTTCCCCTCGCGCTGACACGGCTCCGTGGCAGCACCTTGGGGAGGAGCAGGAGAGCAGGTGCCTTCACACCGCCGTCTCCATGCCAGCTGCTCCTCAGTGTCTCTGCGGACGTCACAGCCCACGTGGCTGCCCTAAGCTCATCACACGGAAACAAGGACAACCTAAAACGGCTTAAAGTATTTGTTTCTCAGCTTGATGAATTAGGCGGCTTTATTAAATAAGCAAAGTGGTTTTAAAAAGCAAGTAAGCTTCTGGCTTTGAAAACAAAAGCAGCTTCTGAAAAACTTGAAAAGAAGGCAAAGAAGAGCATGCCATTTGCTCTATCAGGAAATGTCAACAGTTAACATGGTTTTGGTGATGGTTTTAATTGAGGAAGGCTCCATGTGGAGGCAGAATCTGGTTTTAGGGAAGATCCTGTGTTTTATTAGTTTTCCAGCAGGACTCAAGGAGGCACAGAGCAATTATACCGCAGTATGAGAGCAGAGCCTTGCAACGACTCTTCCAGGGTTTTCTAACCAAAATGCCATTCTTGTCGCCAACAACATAGCTGTTCCCCCTTTCACAGCTGTTTAATTTCAGATGTTTAAGAACTTGTAGGTTGAGATTTTGTCCCATTTGTTTGTATATTTTTCTAAAATATTTTTAAAAATCACAGCAAAAACACATGGCTTGTAGAAACCCAATCTCGTTGCCAAGAAACAAAGGTCTCCCACAACTTAAGGGAACTGCAGCCAACTGGGGAGGCAGAGAAATGGAGAAAGGGGAGCCTAGTGTGGTGCCAGCATTGAATGTTCCAGTCAAGCTGACCGGGAAGGCTGCAAGCTGCTGCAGAGGGCTAATGTGCTGCAGGGGCCAGGGAGAAGGATGGAAGAGGGCTCTTGCCTGAACTCATTTAAAATACACACACACACACACACACACACACACATATGTTTTTTAAATTTTTTTTTATTTTATTGATTTTTTTTACAGAGAGGAAGGAAGAGGGATAGAAACATCGATGAAAGAAAAACATCGATCAGCTGCCTCTTGCACACCCCCTACTGGGGATGTGCCTGCAACCAAGGTACGTGCCCTTGACCAGAATCGAACCCGGGACCTTTCAGTCCGCAGGCCAATGCTCTATCCACTGAGCTAAACCGGTTAGGTCCTGAGCTCATTTTTAAATGTAGGTGTATAGTGTTATAAATTTCTCACAAAATGTTTGTGTTATGTTTTCATTTTCATTCAGTTAAAAGTACTTTGTAATTTCTTATTTGGCCTTTTGGCTATTTTAAAGTATATAGTTTAGCTTCCAAATTCTGTGTGTGTGTGGGGGGGGGGGGAGAGGGGGTTCCTAGATATTTTTATGCTAGTTATTTCTGATTTAATCTATCCAAGTCAGAAAAAATTCTTCATTTAATTGGAATCTTTTCCATTTTATTGAACCTTGTTTGTGAGAGAGGGGTGTTTAATTCACCAACTGTAATGTGGGTTTGTCTACTTTTTCCTTTGTGGTTCAATCAGTTTTTGTTGCATCATTCTGAAGTTCTGACATTAGATATTTAGGGTTGTTGTGCCTCTTGGATGAATTGCTCCGTTACTTGGATTCCTATCCTATGCATAGCAGGCACACCCTAAGTATTAGAGGAATTAATAGATCAATAAATAACTACTGATATTTTCTAAGGAAGTTTGGTATGGCTGGAAAATCCCTTAGCTCCTCCAGACCAGAGTTCTCACTTTTAAAACAATGAGAAGATGGGAGAGGGTGGGTCTGGGGAACAAACACTGACTGTTCAGACCTTGCTGCGGGGACCCTAGGGCTTTGCAGGGATGCCCCCTCAGGAGAGCCCCTTCCCCACTGCCATCCAAGCAACCAGAACTTTATCTGTTTCACATTTTGCCTTTCTCTGTAAAATTTCAGCAGTTGAGAGGGTTCTGGTACTAAAGGAAGTTTAAAAATCACTGAGTTAAAGTGATTTTCAAGTGCAAAGTTATTCTAGTTCTAAGATTCTTTGTCTCTGAGGAGCATTCTCCTCAACCCAAAAGACAACAAGAAAATGCCTCAGCAAACACCACAGCTCTCCACAGAAAAGCAGCCCAGATCTGAGGAGGAGCCCCCAGAATGGCCAGGAGACAGGCAGGTGGCATTCCAGCTCTCCGCTAACTGGCTGGGTGACCTTGGGTGTGACCATTAGCACCTCTGCCCGCACTGTAGGTTCTCACAAAGGGGGCTTTCCCAAGTAGTGTTTGAGGTCCCTCATTCTCTGTGTGTATGTAATACAATTATTGCGTAGAACTTCATCAGATTTCTTGTCTGGGTGGGACTTGGGCAGCTGGAAATGTGAGTAGAAGAGAGAACCCATGAGGGCAGGTCACAATAAGCAGAGACCTGGTGATGGGAGGGAGGCACATAGCATTTGGCAGGGAAGTGTGTAGGGAAACAAGGACGCATGGGAATGGGGGTTATGACTGGACTCACAGTGTCAGAAGAGTAGGCTTAATTTGGTAGAAAAGGGAGCCCATGAAGACTAATGAGCAGGAAGTGGCATGGTGCGGTGCTTTCGGTGGGTGAGCATGTGCATCTACAGAAGCAGAGCAGGACAGGGAAATCTGGTAGGCAGAGGCATGAGTGTGGCAGCGATGCACTGTCCAAGCGTGGAATGGGAACCGATAGAATTTTGAGTGATGTAATTTGGGGTAATTTTACTTTCTTTTTTTGTTGTGATTTTTATTTCTCTCTTTTTTAAACATTATGTGTGTGTGCATGTATATACATATAATCTATAATAATGAAAGTGTAATATGCTAATTAGACCAGACAGCCAAATGTCCTTCCTTCCAGACATCCTTCTGGATGAACTTCCGGACAAAGCTGGGGCTGCGAGGGCTGAGTCCCTTGCACGAATTTCATGCATCAAGCCTCTAGTGTATTATATGATATATAATTAGAAAAGATCACAAAGCTATTGTCATAAAAATAAATGCTAGGATTATTAAAAGACAGAAGCATTGATATTCTCCAATCGAGCAATTTTGAAGATGACATATTATTTAAATCTTGAAATTCCAAAGAGGTAAAAATATTCCCAATTAATACACCTATTTTCTTATAAAATAACTGCTGAAATAAAGGAACACGGAATACAAGGCTTCTTCCAATGGGCACTTACAAAGATGTAAAGTGGGTCGTAATCTGGAGACGCAACTAAGGCCTCGGGTGGTTTCATGTTCAAGATGGAGATCTTGCCAGGGGACTGAGGGGTGACGTCCTGCTTTGGCAGGGCTATCACAGTGGTGGCTTCATCCTGTGCGAGGACCGAGAGCGGTGTTAGCCTTGATGCTGGGACAAGAGGGGAATGTGAGGGCAGTTCCCGAAGGGGGGCCGTGTTACCTCAGCTCCTTGCTTCAGGGGCCGAGCAAGCTTTTGAGGCCTGTAACTTGTTGAAGACATCTGGACAGAGAATGGCTGGTACCCCCTCATTTTGTACATTTGAGGAACCTGCGGGTGAAACAAGATGACTGATTCAATATCCTTAAAAGTCTGTGACCATTTAATGGAGCCTACTCTCAACAATAACCATTCTGAGCTGCCTGGGAGTAAAAGAAAACAAGCTCCATGCTGTTGCCACGAGACTGTGGCAAAGGTTCATTTGACTGTGCTGGAGTGACTGGATGCCAGTCCAGGTGCCAGCACACAGGGCCACCCACCAGCACTCTTCAGTGCCACATGCTTAGAAATGCCTCGAATACTGGTTAGTAATTACAAATATTTATATTTTCCGGTAGGATTAAAAATGATGGCAGAATAAGTGGATGCTGCACAGACATGCTCCCAGGAACAAACTGGAATCACAACTGAAATACAGAAAACCTTCCTGAATAATCAAAAGAAGACTTGCTGGAGAGAACCCCGATACCTGTGGACTGAAAGTGGAGACCACATAGAGACTGGTAGGAGGAGTGGAGGCATGAAAGGACTGGCTGGGCTCCCACAGACAGCAACTGAAGTTCCAGAAAGATAGCTCAGATTGGGTGGTAGGGGTTGCCACTAAGAACTCTGCAGTCTAATACTCAACCTGGGCTCCCCTAGCAGGGAGCACCAGAGCTGAGAAAGGTACTCACATGATACCTGGCTGTGAAAAGCAGCAGGGTTGCTGTCTGCCAGGGAGAGGCAGCTAGAAATTCAGACACCCTTTAAAGGGCCAGTGCATAAAATTCCCTGTAAAGCCAGCCACCCACCTTGTGCTCCAGCAAAGGGAGGGCAGAGTGTGTTAGAACTGTGTGAGCAGAAGCCAGGATCAGGGGCTCTGGGGTTAGAGTTCAGAAGGCAGGCATCCTGGTTTCCTGTGCTGTCATTCCCTTATGCTGCAGAGGTCATCTTTCCCACATAGACATTTGTTATATAGGAGGCCTTGCCTGTGGGAAGACAGTTGATCCATCCTATTGGAAAACACCTTTCCTTACAGTGAAGAATCAGAAAACTTGAATAGGCCAATAACAACTGATGAAATAGAAGCAGTAATAAAAAAAAAAAAAAAAAACTTCCAGCAAACAAAAGTCCTGGTCTGATGGCTTCACAGAAGAGTTTTTCTATACATTCAATAAGGAACTAACACCTAGCCTCCTCAAACTATTCCAAAAAATCCAAGAGGAAGAAATACTTCCAATCTTGTTTTATGAGAACAGCATTACCCTAATTCCAAAGCCAAATAAAGATACTACAAAGAAAGAGAATTGAAGGCCAATATCTCTGATGATTGTAGATGCTAAAATCCTCAACAAAATATTAACAAATTGGATTCCAGAAATGTATTAAATGGATCATACGCCATGATCAAGTGGGATTTATTCAAGGAATCAAGGCTGATACAATATTCACAAGTCAATAAACACCATACATCACACAAACAAATTGAAAGACAAAAACCACATGATATATCAATAGATGCAGAAAAAGAATTCGACAAAATCCAACAGCCATTTTTTATAAACACTTTCAGCAAAGTGGGGATAGAGGAGCATATCTTAACCCAATAAAGGCCATATATGACAAACCTACAGCGAACATCAGACTCAATGCCCCAAAACTAAAACTATTTCCCATAAGAACAAGAACAAGACAGAGATGTCTGCTTCCCTCACTCTCATTCAACATAGTACTGGAAGTTCTAGCTCCAGTGATCAGACAAGAAGAAAACATAAAAGGTATCCAAATTGGAAAGGAGGAAGTAAAACTCTCATTATTCACAGATGACATGATATTGTACATAGATAACCCTAAAGACTACACCAAAAAACCACCAGGTTTAGTAAATGAATTTGGCAATGTAGCGGGATACAAAATCAATACATCAAAATCTATGGCTTTTTTTTTATACAACAATAATGAATTCTCAGAAAGAGAAACTAAACAAAGAATCCCATTTACCATTTACCATTGCAACAAAAATATTAAGATACTTAGTAATAAACTTAACCAAGGAGGCAAAAGACTTGTACTTGGAAAACTACAGGACGTTGAAAAAAGAGATAGGAGAAGTTATAAACAAGTTGAAGAATTATACTGTGTTCATGGATTGGTAAAATCAACATCATTAAAATGTCCATCCTACCCAAGGCATTCTAAAGATTTAATGCAATTCCTATTAAAATACCAACAGTATATTTCACAGTTCTAGAACAAATATTCCAAAAATTTATATGAAATCAAAAAAGACCTTGAATACAGCAATCTTGAGAAAGAAAAACAATGTTGGAGGAATCACAACACTAGATATCAACTTATACTACAAACCACTATAAGCTAAACAGCCTGGTACTGGCACAATAATAGGCATATTGATCAATGGAACAGAACAGAAACCCCAGAAATAGACCCAAGGCATTATGCTCAATTAATATTTGACAAAGGAGTCAAGAACATACAACAGAGTCAAGAAAGTCTATTGAATAAATGTGTTGGGAAAATCAAACAGGTTCATGAAAGAAAATGAAAATAGACTTCAAACTTACACCATACACAAGAATAAACTAAAAATGGATTAAAAGAATTAAATGTATAATAAGTCGGAAAACCATAGGCAGCAAAATCTCAGACAACTCTCATAGCAATATGTTTATGGATACATCTCCTAGGGCAAAGGAAACTAAGGAGAAAATAAATAAATGGAACTACATCAAAATAAAACCTTCTGTACAGCAAAATAAACCATCAACAAAACGAAAAGGGACCCCACTGCATAGAAGAACATATTTGGCAAAGATAGATCTGATAAAGGGTTAATAACCAAAATATATGAGGAACTCATACAATTTAAAAGGAAGACAAACAATCCAATTAAAAAATGGGCAAAGGGCCGGGACCGGTTTGGCTCAATGGATAGAGCGTCGGCTTGGGGACTGAAGGGACCCGGGTTCGATTCCGGTCAAGGGCATGTACCTTGGTTGCGGGCATATCCCCAGTAGGGGGTGTGCAGGAGGCAGCTGATCGATGACTCTCTCTCATCGATGTTTCTAACTCTCTGTCACTCTCTTCACTCTCTCTTCCTCTCTGTACAAAATCAATAAAATATATTTAAAAAAAAATGGGCAAAGGACCTAAATAGATACTTCTCCAAAGTGGACATTCAGATGGCTAAGAGACTTTGGGCATTTGGGAAAAATGCTCAAAGTCACTGATCATCATAGAAATACAAATTAAGACAACAATGAGGTACCATCTCACACCTGTCAGAATGGCTATCATCAACAAATCAACAAACAACAAGTGCTGGTGAGGATGCAGAGAAAAAGGAACCCTCCTGCACTGCTGGTGGGAATGCAGACTGATGCAACCACTATGAAAAACAGTATGGAGTTTCCTCAAAAAATTAAAAATGGAACTCCTATTTGACTCAATAATCACACTTCTAGGAATATCTCAAGAAATAAGAAACACCAATCATAAAAAAGGTTTGCACCCTATGTTCATAGCAGCACAATTTACAATGGCTAAGATGTGGAAACAGCCCAAGTGCCCATCAATAGATGAGTGGATAAAAAAGCTGTGGTACATTTATACTAATCCGCAGTGAAAAAGAAGAATCTCTTACTCTTTGAGTCATAATGAAGGGACCTGGAGGATATCATGCTAAGCGAAATAAGTCAGTCAGAGAAAGATAAGTATCACATGATCACACTCATCTGTGGAATCTAAGTAACAAAATAAACTGATGAATGGAGTGGATCCAGAGATACAGAAGCAGGGAAGTGGGGAACCTTAGAAGAAAGATGGGGGGTGGTGGGAGGGTGTGAGGAAATCAACTAAGAACCTTATATGAATATATGTATGGTCTATGGCCCAGACAGTGGGGCAGTGAGGGCCTGGGGTGGGGGTTGATGGCGGGCTGAATGGGGTTAATGGGGAAAAAAAGAGAAATATGTAATACTTTCAACTAATTCTTTAGTTTAAAAAATAAAAATATTTACATTTTCAAAAGCAGAAGTGGTCACATATACTCAGGGAGGACTGACTAACTTTGTTCACCTCATCTTGTGTGTTTTTTCTTAAAGTTTCTAATCTGTGTGTCTTTATGTATGCATAATATATGGTATTTCCACAGAATAAGGAAGGATCCTAGATCCCGTAAGCCACATCAGGAAAACAGAGTCTGTTAACCTCACACATACCATAAAATGACAGCAGGAAAGTACACATAGCATGTGACACAGTATAATTCATAGTAAAACAAGCTATTAAAATAACGCTATTCAAATGTTCTGTTCTAGTCGTGAGAAATCTAAGTAAGGATGCCAGGAGATAGGTCTGACCTGCAGGTTGAAGAAGGAATGATGGTGCTTGACTTGGACGTCTAAAGGTTTAATTGGGACAGGTCCAAGGCCGAGAGGATCCTGAAAGGGGAAAATGCAAGCAACTGACACATGATCACACTGGGCAAAGGTGGCTGTGTTTCTAGCCCTTACACTTTGAAGATTAAATGAACAGTTCCATTCTTAAAGTATCCCTTCCCACAACCACAGTCGTTACTGCATGTGTGGGGCCTACAGGTGGCCTTGCCCTCGGCGCCAATCCCCTCCCCCCATCTCTTAGTAGAAGTGATTCTTCATTTTCATTTTCTACTGTCATGGATGCTGCAATGTGCCACCCAGAATCACCTTTAGGCTTGAAGGTTTCAGTCCCCCAGTTTCTAGGAGACCAGTTCATACCAACAACTCTCTGGGGCCAGCCCTTTTCAGGAGGTGCCCTGGCTGCAGGAGCAGCCTCAGTGAAGACATGTGCCCCTCTGAGGGCAGCCCACCTCCAATGACAAGCCTACATGCAGGGCCCTCTCACCCTGTCTCAGTATCAGAGCTCCTCATGAATTCAGCTGAGGCCTTTGACACAAAGGTCTGCATACTGCTTCTCTCTGTCCACTCCCACTCCCATTCTGTCCACCCCACTCCCACTCTGTCCACTCCCACCACCCTTCCACAGCTGCTAATCCCTAGAGCATTACCCAATCAACTTCCTGCTGGCCAAGCTGCCTCAGACACCTAGAGAATCTGAAACAGTGCCTGCATTACTTAGCATGATGCAATGTTTATATGCCATCAATTATAAGACCCTTCCCAATTTCAAAGATAATAAATATTTTCAAAAATATATTTTTATTTATTTTAGAGAAGAAGGGAGAGAGAGAAAGGGAGAGAGAGAGAGAGAGAGAGAGAGAGAGAGAGAGAGAGAGAGAGAGAGAGAGAGAGAGAGAGAGAGAGAGAGACATCAATAATGAGAGATAATCATTGATCGGCTGTCTCCTGCACATCCCACACTGGGGATTGAGCCCAATACCCAGGATTGAGCCCTGACTGGGAATTAAACTGTGACTCCTGGTTCCTACGTTGATGCTCAACCACTGAGCCACATTGGCTGGGCAAAGATGCTAAATATTTTAAAAGTTATTTCAAAATTGATAAAATAGAGTATTTGTAAAATGAGTGTGAAAACTCTTTAAAGGCAGGAATGCTGAGCAGTCTGCTTCTCATCAACTCTGAGCAGCAGAGAAGCTTTTGTAGAACTAATTAAAGCACCAAATGAAATGCCTAAGCTTTGAACTGCTCAAAAGGAATGTGCCGGGCTCCACAGCGCAGTGGCCATCTCTGCCCTCAATTCTTAGGTGTCAGATATTTACTCTTGCTGGAAAAATCACAGATTTTTTCCCACTAGGAACAATATATTCTAATCTTTTAAGTCATTTAATTTCTAATGCAGAAAATACATGGAATTTCTAAAGTCAGTCCTGCAATGCTTAACACACATTATAGGATGTGAATGGCAAGTTTATTCTTTGAAACTAATTTTATTGATTGATTGATTGATTGATTTTTTTTTAGCACATGCACTTTCAATATCAACTTAAACACACTTTCTATTGCCAACTATGTGAACACGAGCAACGTTTTATTTCTGGCTATGTCCCTCGGCCTCAGTGTCCTGCTCCTCTGTAAGATGATATGCAACACATAGATTTGTTGAAGATTAAGAGTTGATACAACTGAAGCCCTTAGGACACAACCTCACTCATGGTGGATGCAATGGAGGGCTGTCATTTTTATTATAATGCATCATGGTGCCCATTCGCCAAGAGGGTTAAAATACCACACCTCATGCCAGGAAAAGGGGAGTGGGAGGAGAGAGAGAGAGAGAGAGAGAGAGAGAGAGAGAGAGAGAGAGAGAGAGAGAGAGGAGGGGAAGGGGAATTGTGAGCCTGATGGGTTAGACTGTGGCATTCTGGGCCGTCCTTCTGGCCTCTCCATTGCTCACGCAGCAGAAGGGCTCAGCTGAGCAGGACCTGCCTTCCGGGCCAGGCCAGGTCCTCTGGGTTTCTCCGTCTGCCCATCTGCTCTCAGGCCTGAGCCTGGGCTGTCAAGCTCTGCTCAATGCTCTTGCTGGGCCCCAGGCTGGAAAGGGCCAGCCCGGCTCTCAGCAGCTCTGCATAGGCGTGCCAGATGTCAGGCCGCAGCAGTACATGGTCCCTGGTTTCCCTGTGGCTACAGTTCCCCGGGCACAGGTCTCCTGTGGGAGCCTCTCGGAGGAGGCACAGGGACTGAGACAGTGACAGAGCCTGCCTTGGTGTCTGCAGAACAACCCTCTGACCCAGCCCGGGCCCTCCCCGCCCAGCAGCACCCACCAGCTCATCGAAGCCCTGGGGAGGACTGTAGGAGGGGAAGGCGAAGGGCAGCACGTGCTTGGGTGACACAGAGACTGGGCTGAGATGATTGTCTTGACTGGACAGCAGAAAGAATTTGGAGACAGTCTTGTCTAGGAGGGAAAAACAAAACAGTGCTTTTGGAGCGATTTCCCAAGGTATTTTTATGTAAAGCCACCATCTTCATCTGCTTATTTGTACCTGCCTTGTGCCATTTCAATCACAGTATCTATGTGTGTACATATTTACTCCCATTTTTAGTGTCTCCTTTGTCCTTTACCTCCATCCCGCTCCAATTTATAAAAAAACGTTATTTTATGTTCACTTCATTTTCGGGGAGGGCAGCCTGAGCCGGGTTCAGGGGCTTGGGCTCGGGAGGGAGGAGGGCTGCAGAGACCAGGCCTGCTGTGAGTCTGCACCTGAGCCACAGATGGGCAGCACCTTTTCTAGAAGGAGGTGGTGAGATGGCTGTTGGGCTCCTAGAGCTACTGAGGATGGGCCTCCAACAGCCCCAGACCACCTGTGGATTGGAATTTTTTTTAAATAACAAAAATAATATGAGGTAAAACACTCTGTGAGATAAAACCAGACCCATGCAGTCAGTCAGCAAGTGTAAGTGTTGACTGTCCCGGTCTCTTGTGAGCTTACATGGTACAGGGGCTTTGCGGAGTGATTAAGTTAAGGGTCTTGAATGAGATGGGGAGATTGTCCTGGGGGATCCGGGTGGGCCCAAAGCAATCACAGGATCCATGAAAGAGGGAGATAAGAGGGTCAGAGTCAGAGAAGAAGACATGAGTGATGACAGAGGCAAGAGGTCAGTGACTTGAGGAAATGGCCAGGACCAAGGCGTGCAGGTGGCCTCCTGAAGCCGGGAAAGGCCTGGAACACATCCTCCACTGGAGCCTCAGGGACCCCGCCCTGCGGATCCCTGATTTTAAATTTCTGACCTCCAGAACCCTGTGATCATAATTGTGTGTTGTTCTGAGCCACAAGTTGGTGGTGGTTTGTTTAGCAGCCATAGAAAACACACATGTGATTTATGAAAATATCGTATTTCTATGCAGCCAACTTCATTGTAAAGAAACCTCATGCTGTGGGGATGGCTGGTCGAAGCATCGCTGACTCCCCAGCTGCATCTCACCATGTGCTATGGACTGTCTGTTATGCCTGAACCTCTTCAGTAAGGTCTCTCTATCCATGGTACGCATGATGTCCAGCATGTTAAGTAATCGTCGGTGAACCATGATCTAGAATTAGAAAGAATAAGGGTTTCAAATGAGTAGTTGATGCATGCTCATTTTTATTGTTTAATTTAATTCACTTTCCCCAGCCACAGCGAAGGGCTAAGGCCACGGCTGTCAGTCAGAATTCACCAGGAGAATGGCAAGCTGCTGCCTGAGATGGAGGTCGGGGACTTCAACGTCAGGGTGTTGCTGACTCCCTGAACACAGACAAGATCAGGTTGCCATCTGCCTTGTCTTACCCAGTGTCCGAGACTCCGTTTCCCCGTTTCCAGAGTGGAAGCAATGACTGCTTCTACATTCCTTTCCCCCAGTGTATCTGAGTAGTAAATGCTCCCCCACAGCTGAAGGACAAACTGAATGGACAATTCTGCAGAAACGGGGCTGTGGAATATGGGCAATGCTAACTGTACTCTGCTGTGCTTTGACTTCAGAGCGGATGCGCGCAAATCAGTCCTAGTTATTGGAATGATTGTTCATTCCATAACCAACACTACTTTCCATCCTGTGAAAATTCTTTCTTTTAACACAGGCGTAGGGACCTTTTTTCTGCCAAGGGCCATTGGATATTTGTAACAAAATTCATAGGCCATACAAAATTATGAACTTAAAGATTAGCCTGCTATGTTTGGTCAAACATGGAATTAACTCACCCCTAATGCCTTGGCAGGGCCAGACCAAATGATTTCCTGGGCCTTATACAGTCCGCGGGTGCACATTCCCCACTGCTGATTTAATAGATATCATGAAGTGGCTACTCTGTGGCCAGTTCTGTGCAAGGTATTGGAGATACGGTGGGAACAAACAAATATTAGCCTGTTCAGAGGTGATGGTCCAAGTGTGTGTGTGTGTGTGTGTATTGGGGAGTGGGGTGTGGAATGGATGACAGTGAACACTTAAACAAGATCAACACCGTGAAGAAAATGAGAGTAAATCCATGAAAACATGAGTGGGGGCTGGGGAGGGAGTGGTCTGACCATTATGCAAGAATAATTAGGGAAGGCTACTCTGAGAGGGTTGATCTCAGACTTGAATGATAAGGAAACAATGATCCTGAGAAGAAAGTTCTAAGCAGAGGATCCAGTGAGTACAAAGATCCTTATCAAGGAACAAAGGAGACATGTTGAAGAGACAAAGAGAAATCCAGCATGACCTTGTAGCCTTGATAATAACTGTGCAATAGATTATTTTATTTTTTTAATTGAATTTATTGGTTCACAAAACATACAAGTTTCAAGAGTACAACTCAACTATACATCATCTGCACATGACCTATAGCAAAGTCTCTGTTCCTGTTTCCCTCCACCTTTGCCCCCCTCCACCTAACTCCCACCACCTGTTCCCCCCTGGCTATTACCACACTGTTCTCTCTCTCTCTCCATATATATATATATATATATATATATATATATATATATATATATATATATATAAAACTTTGTGTGTTTTTTTTGGCTTAATCCCTTCACTTTCTTTCATCCAGCCTCCCCTCCCTATCTCCTCTGACAGCTGTCAGTGTGTTCCAAGTATCCGTGCCTCTGCTTCTATTTTGTTCATCAGTTTATTTTGTTCATTAGAATCTACATATAAGCGAGATCACATGGTATTTGCCTTTCTCTGGCTTATTTTGCTTAGCATTATAACTTCAAGGTCCTTCCATGCTGTTGTCAAAGGTAATATTTCCTTCTTTTTTACAGTTGAGTAGTATTCTATTGTGTAAAATACTGCAGCTTTTAAATTTTATTTTAAATTGTATTTTATTGTTTAAAGTATTACAAATAGTAGTACATTTGTCTCTTCCCCCCATTGACCTTCCCTAGGCCTCCCCTACCTACCAGCACTTGCCCCCTCCCCCCACCCCCCACCTCCAGTGTCTTTGGTTATGCTTATATGCATGCATACAAGTCCTCGGTTGATCTTTTACCATCCCCCAACCATCCCTGCCTTCCTGCTGTAGTTTGACAGACTGTTCGATGCTTCTTTGCCTCTTTATCTTTTTATTCATCAATTTATAATGTTCTTTATATTCCACAAATGAATGAGATCATGTGGTATTTATCTTTCTCTGACTGGCTTATTTCACTTAGTACAATGCTCTCCAGTTCCATCCTTGTTGTTGCAAATGGTAAGATTTCCTTCTTTTTTACAGAAGCGTAATATTCCATTGTGTAGATGTACCACAGTTTTCTAATCTACTCATCTGCTGATGGGCACTTAGGCTGTTTCCAAATCTTAGCTATTATAAATTGTGCTGCTATGAACATAGGGATGCATATATCCTTTCTGATTGGTGTTTCTGGTTTCTTGGGATATAATCCTAGAAGTGGGATCACTGGGTCAAGTGAGAGTTACATTTTTAATTTTTTGAGAAATTTCCATACTATTTTCCACAGTGGTTGCACCAGTCTGCATTCCCACCAGCAGTGCAAAAGGATTCATTTTTCTCCGCATCCTGGCTAGCACTTGTTGTTTGTTGATGATAGCCATTCTGACAGGTGTGATATGGTACCTCAGTGTTGTTTTGATTTGCATCTCTTGTATGATTAGTGAATTTGAGCATGTTTTCATAATCATAAGTCTCTCAGCCTTCTGTATGCCCTCTTTTGAAAAATGTCTATTTAGATCCTTTGCCCATTTTTTTTAATTGGATGGTTTATATTCCTTTTGTTAAGTTATATGAGTTAACTGAAAATTTGGAGATTAAATCCTTATCTAAGACCACATTGGCAAATATCTTCTCTCATGAAGTGGGCTTCCTTATTGTTTTGTTGATGGTTTCTTTTGCTGTGCAGAAGCTTTTTATTTTGATGTAGTCCCATTTGTTTATTTTCTCCTTAGTTTCCATTGCCCTAGGAGCTGTATCAGTAAAGATATTGCTACAAAAGACATCCTAAATAGAACTGAAGGCATATCTTTAAAAGGTCCAGGTCTCCCTGAGGTCCGCCTTCACTTATCAGTTACTCTGCCACTCCCTGAGGTTGCCTGGTCTTCCTCCAGTGCCTTCTGAAGGAGGAATATAGAGTAGACCTCGGCTGACTGTGACCCACAGACCCTTCCACACGTCATGAGCTTGGTAGGGCACCTTGGCTGGGGTCTGGAAGATGGGGCTAGTAGGTACCCTACTTGGGGTTGCTTGGTCAGGCACTCAATGAGAGGAAAGTTACCCCTACTCTAGAGCCATACCACACAGCCTTTGCCAGTTTCTGAGCTTCAGGTTCAGGCTGAATGCAGCCAGTTGTCCCCTCTGCAGGAGCAAACTCAGCAGGGTGGAGCCTCAGGACTCCAGAAGACAGATCATCAGGGTCTCCTGTTGGGAATGGTGTTTGTGGAGATCACAGGAGGGGGCCAAGCATTTTGTCCAGGTCCCAGACAATAGCCTCTGAGGGACACACACTTGGAATATCCCAGCTCTAAGCTCAGAAGGGCAGGGCCAGGGGCTGCTAGAGAGGCAGGTCAAGTGAGTCTCATTGTGGCAACAGTGTAGGCTCAGCTAGCAGGGGAGATAGGAGTGGCCCCCATGATGTAGTCACTGCACCCAGCTCCCCCCTGTCAGATTCCCAGATGAAATTCTTCCCAGGAGATGTGCTCCAAAAATCCCAGCTCTGTGGCACTCTGATCTCCCTGCAGGACTGAACTCAGCAGGGTGGGGCCACAGGGAGTGGAAAGGCTGCTGCAATGGCCCAGGTGGAAGATGATGTGGCTATTACTGAGCTGGGGTGAAGGCCAGAAGTCATCATATTGGGACTATATTTACATTGAACTGATAGTACTTGCTGGGAGTGTGAGAAGGATGAGCCATTACTCAAGCAAAACACATAATTGTTGACAATATATATATTTTTTTACCCTGGTGGACTTGTTCCGAATGGATTAGGGTGGTCCCACTGGTGGGAAGCCAGCCCAGCCTGTCCCTTGCTGCTGTTCATCCATTGGCAACAGCTGTGCTCCCTCCCTCAGAGCACAGCATTGTGCTGCCTCCTTCCACCACGTTCTTTCCCACATTGAGCACCTGTGGCCACCTATGTTCTGCCTCAGCAGGGACTCTGGCTCTCAAGGGCCTTAGAGGATAGTGAGTAGGTCACCAATGCAGTGAGCTCTGCTGCTCTTGGCCTAGATCAGTGGTTCTCAACCTTTCTAATGCTGCGACCCTTTAATACAGCTCCTCATGTTGTGGTGACCCCCAACCATAAAATTATTTTCATGGCTACTTCATAACTGTAATTTTGCTACTGTTATGAATTGTAATATAAATATCTGTGTTTTCTGCTGGTCTCAAGTGACCCTAAGAACCACTGGCCTACACTGTCATCAGTTGAGGCAGAAAACACTACTTGAAAGAGGATCTATTCCATAAACTTTCAGAGTCCCTTACGAGTATATACTCATTTAATCTTCACACTAACCCTATGAGACAGCTCTTATTGCTATCCTCAGTTGCAGATGAGGAGACTGAGGCACAGAGATAATGTAACTTGTCCAAGACCAGAAGGCTATGAGAAGTAGCCGCAAGAATTAAGGGTGGGCAGCCCTGGCTTCAGAGTCCAAGTCTTAACCACTGCTCTCCCCTGCTTGAGGAGGAGCTCTGCCCCTCACCCCCTGCAAACCAGCCACATTTGAGTGACAGGGTCAAGAGAGCTACAGGCAGCATAAGATACAAGAAGTAACAGGAGGACTGCTGGGTGTTGAAGCTCACAGGGACTCTTTCTCAGAGGAAAGGTAGACTTGAGTTGGCCCAAAGGACAGGTGACAGGTGTAGACAGATGAAGGGGAGATGGAATGGCATGTCAGTTGAAGGGCAAGGAGCAGAAATACAGGTAATAGTAGGGAATAAGTTTGGAAGATGAGGACTGAAACAACATAGAGAACAGGGTACAGCTGGGGAGGTGTGCCTGTAGCCAGACCAGGGACCCACCTTATACCCTTTACTGGCATTAGAGGATAAGTCTTCATTATATTCTGACCCTAGGAAGCCATTGAGGGCTAGCAATGTGGCAGGTGGAAGGCCATTGTGAGGGGAAAGAAGCTAGAGCAACAAGAGGATTGTTATGAAGGGGGAGCCATGAGCCTGAATGGTAGAGACAAGAGTCCACAGGAATTCTCCATTGTTCTCCCCAGAAAGTGCTGATCAATATCCCACTGTCCTAGAGTTACCATATGATCTAGAAACACACTCTCTCTCTCTCTCTCTCTCTCTCTCTCTCTCTCTCTCTCTATATATATATATATATATATATATATATATATATATATATCCCAAGAGAATTGAAAACATATGTCCATAAAACTGTACACAAATGTTAACAGCATTATCATTCATAATAACCCAAAGTGAGAACAACTAAATATTTCAATTGGTGAATGATAAGATGTGGACTACCCATCTAATGGGACAGTATCCTATATACCAGGTAAATATAAATATATAAAAGGCTAATAAGCAAATAGACCCAACAGAGGAACGACTGGTCGCTATGACGCTCACTGACCACCATGGGCGGACTCTCAATGAAGGAGCTGCCCCCTGGTGGTCAGTGTGCTCCCACAGGGGGAGCACTGCTCAGCCAGAAGCTGGGCTCAAGGCTGGCGAGTGCAGTGGAGGTGGTGGGAGGCTCTCTTGCCTCCACAGCAGTTAGACATCCCCCGAGGGCTCCCAGACTGTGAGAGGACACAGGCTGGACTCAGGACCCTGCCCCTTTGAGGGCATGATTTCATGCACTGGGCCTCTTGTTCAACCACAAAGAGGAACGAAGTGCTCATATATGTTATCACATGGATGAGCCTTGAAAACGCGTTAAGGAGAAGCCAGTTGCCAAGGGGCATGCATTGTATGATTCCATTTATATGAAATGTCCAGAAGAGGCAAATCCACAAAGATAGAAAGTAGATTAGTGGTTGCCAGATCTGGGGGATGGAGAGTGACCGCTAATGGAACAGGTGCCTTTCTGTGGTGATAAAAATGTTCTAAAATTAGATAGTGGTGATAGCTGTAGATCTCTGTGAATAGACTAAAATCTACTGGGTTGTACACTTTATAAGGTTAAATTTTATGACATGCAAATTATATCTCAATAAAGAAGGTACAAACGAACTCAGTGTTTGACTTTCTTATGCTAATGACTACACAAATTAAAATTTCAATCTGGTGCTGAGACATACCTTGCGTGCTGCTTGCTGAAACCGTCTCTGTGCCCTGAACCTGCTGACCCAAGTATTATTGATAAGTGGATCAAAATCTGGTTCAAAATCCTTGATTTTCTGTGAATATAAAATAAAAGCACATCTTAGAAATGTAACCCCTAATATAAGCATTTAATAAAAATGTTTGGATTTGATTCCTAGTTTACTTTTTATTTGTTCTGCTTTATAATAAGCATTTATTAAGCACTTTAGTATATGCAGCATCACAGGGAATACGTTTGGGTTGGGTCTAAAAGTGGAAGCTTTGGGCTTAAAAAAATTTATAGTCTATTTCAAGCAAACACATGTGACCTTGAGGAAGAAGAATGAAGTCAGATGTGGTGGGTGCTGGCACTGAATCCGGATGGAGAGGGGCCGACTGTATGATGTCATGGAGGATTGCCATGCTCAGCCTTCCTCCCAGCACCAGCACCAGCACCAGCACCTGCATATCAGGGCACAGGTGTGAGGTGCTGGGTGAGTGAGTGCAGAGGAAAGGGTGCCTGACGGTGTACTGAGGCCAGCCACAGCCTCAGGCACTAGGTTTTTGAACAGAGAAACAATATGAGGAAAATGTATCAGAAATGAATGTCTCACATTGCACAGGCAGTGGGCTGAAGAGGAGAGGGCAGAGGGACAGGGACACGAACAGTCTGCTGGATTAGTTGGGGTGAGATCTGAAGGTTGGGCTTGGGCATGATCCTGTAGAAGAGCTATTGGCAAGACGCGGTGGCCAGATTAAATGTGGGGGAGAAGAAAAGAGGTTGAAATAATTCAGATGTGACAAACCCAGGAAAAGAACGTGAGAATGATGAAGGTGGGGAGATTAGGAAGAATCTTTTCATTAAAAGTAAAAATTGGGGTTTAATCAGAAACTATCACATGACAGTGGATACTCAGGTGGAGGGGCTACTGTTCCCAGTTGTCATTTGAAGAAACTAAGGCATCAAGGCCCAGAGGCCTTTCCAAGGTCCCCATTCTGTGGGAGAGCTGGGACCTGAAGTCTGGCTTCTAGCTTCCACCCAGGGGAAGGCCAATGAGCAGAGGCCCAGAGACCCACGGAGGCCCCTCAGACAGCGGCATGGGGAGCAGAGGGAATGAAACGCCAAAGGAGACAGGCGGAGAAAGTGAGGGGTGGGAGGAGAAGTCAAAGCATGTGATACCATTAATTTCAAGGAAAACATTAATTATGAATTGTGCTGCTTTACTGTGAATATGTAGTAAAAGACACTCTGAAAACACTAGCATATTAAAGATTAAATATCCCTTGCTAAGAGGATTTCTTTAAAATTGTTTAGCGTTTTAAAAATAAACATTTAAAGAGCTGCCAATAATGAGATTCAAAATAAAGGAAAGCTACCCACTTCATCCAGATTGTGAACAACCCGCTTCTGGTTAATCTCCGTCTTCAGTCGCTGAAATTCCTCTTCCAAGACAGGATCTCCTCTATCTTGCTGGTTTTTTAATCACCAAAAATATAAAAATTCAATACAATTTTATTTCTTTTCAAAACTGCTAGAATCCCATCATACAATTGGTCAAATCCACCCATAAAGTTCCATTGGAAGGGGTGGTGGTATAACTAGGTTAAAGTTATCATTGTAATTGTGATAACTTTACTGTTTACGCATAGGAAATTTTTATAGAATCACAAAACTAATACCTTCTTTTTGTAACTAGAGGAAAGTGTCTAGAAATTGTTTCCAAGCCATTTAAAAGCCACAGAAAGGATTTTAAGGAACCATGTAACCACAGCACTACAGAAATTTCATTAAAATGTAATGTCCGTTTTAAGCTCCCCATAGCTGATTATCCAAGTACCAGGTTCAACAAAGGCAAAGGATGCCTCCCCTTTCCTGCATGGCAGAGGTTGAGGGGGTCTGTCCCTTCCTGGGTGTAAGTTCCCATGCCTGCTCCCCTTCTCCCCTCCCCCTGCCCCCTGCTTCCCCATTGGCATCCCTCCCCAGCTCTATTTCCCCACCTGCTCTCCTTACCACCCCCTGTTCTCCTTCCGCCACCCCCCTGCTTCCCCAGTGGCCCCTGAGCTCTCTTTCCTAGTCCCCAGAGCCCCTGGTCACTGCAGGGAAGGCTGACTGGGCTGGGATCAGTCTATACATGTCTGCCACTATGCACGCTGCAACCATTTCAGCTGTCTGTACTGTTTATTACATGTTTGATAGGTAACTTCCAAAACTAGCTAGGTTCTTAGGTATACTGTTCATAATCATTTTGGAAGTAATCTATTCTGGTCACCACAATAACACCCTATTCAGAGATAAGAGGGACACAGAATTGTCTCGGGGAGAGAGGGGTGAGCTGTCCAGCTCTAATTTGCACATATCTGGGAGTTTGAGATTGGGTATCTTAGGTTCTAAATACAGACGTTGTGGGGAGTGACCTAGATCCTCACAACCACTGACTGTAAACTAAAACAGGCAGCTAATGAAGGGATTGGCAAGCAGGTTGTTGGCTACAAGCAAGGAGAAAGATTTCCTACATCTTGAGTAAGACTCTACCTACTATGGCAAACACTTCTGAAGTCAGTCTATCCCTCTCCCATGAGCTCATCATCCTTGAGGGTTTGCGCCTTCCAGCTAGAGTGCTGACTCCCTCCACATGCTTCCACCCCCTCCCACTCTCTCTGTGCCACATGCCTCGGGCCTCCAGGGTTCCTCCCACTGGATGCAGCTGCCAGGGGAAGTCTGGGCACACTGACCGGCATCCCCGAAACACTTGCTCTCCCACTACCCTGGGCTCGCAGGGTGGCCTGCTTTCCTTCTGCCTCCCTGCTGAGGGTAGCAAGGATGCGACAGCTCCTCTCCTGCTCCCCTCAATAGCCTTTCAAGCCTCTCTCCAGGGCCTGCTCCCCACAATCTCTGCAGGGGCCTGCTTCCTATTGGGAAGACAAGACCACGAGCTCGCCTCAACAGCTCCCACTCTGCAGGCAAGCCCGCCTAGACTGCAGCCTCCTCCAGTCCTTCCTCCTGTTCAAAGACAGTCTTTCCGCCTGACCATGGCCTCTTCCCAAGCTTCTGCCGCCTTTTCCTCTGTGATGCCTCCATCACTCTTCACCCCTGTTCACCTCACCTGCTCACCTCAACTTACTTCCACCCATTCCCGAGAAGTCCAATTTGGCTTTCCCCTCCTCCGGTCTACTGGAGTCGCTGTCACTCGAGCACACAAGGACTTCCAAAAGCCACATCCAATGTGCACTCTTCAGGCCTTATGACCCTGGAATCCTCCTTGCACGTGATTGATCCCTCTGCATCTGCTTTCTCTTTGTTCTCAGGTCCCATGACCTCCCAACCACTTCTGCTCTACCTCCTTGGTCGTCCGCTGCTCTCCCCTTAAATCATGAAGTTCTCTAGAACTCGTGCCTTGAGCTACCATCTTTCTCAAGATATTTACTTTTCACAGGTCATCACAGGTGTTCTGGTGCCAATCCTACTCTATGCTGGTCACTCCTAAGTCTCTGCCTCCAGCTCAGATTTGTTCCTTCAGCTACCACCTGGATGCCCTCCAGTCACCCCAGATGTAACATAGCCCAAATTAAACTTCTCATCTTCCACTAAGCCAGCTTTGCTTCCATATTTGAGATCTCATTGAACACACGTGCACCCAGGCTGGGAACCTACGAACCTTACCCTTCATTTCTAATGTATCTACAGGTTCTAGCTCTATCACTGCACTCAGCACATTTTGTATCATCTCTTAATGGTTCTGTGCCACTTCTGGACTGACCTTCTTGAAGGCAGGGACCATCCCTTATTCACTGGCACAGAATCTTACAGACAGTGGGCATTCACTCAATGCACTGGCCAAGTGTATGTACACTTGAGTTTGTCTGTCAACCAAATGCTGCCAATTATAGCCTTATCTCTCATGTCTGTGTCACCTTCATCTTTAAAACAGTTAGAAAATATTCCATTGTGGGGTTCACAGAAAACATTTTCCATTTTGTTTTTAAAATCATGTGCAAAGGATCTGAACAACATACCAAACTAAATTTAAATGCCAACCTAATATGTGCCTTTCCTTAATGCACATTTATCAATGTAATGATTTAACATCCTTTAAAAAATAAAAAAGGAACAAATTTATTCAAATATCTGATTTGTACTTCAAACCTAGAAAGAAGATATGTTCTATATGAGAAATATATTCATATATGATAAGACACATGATTTTCCCAATCCCTCCTACCAAGTACTGCCACTGTGTGTAGCACTGAGTGTGGGAAACACACACTCCCAAGCTTAAATATATGTACTATAGTATTATGGATGAATTGTGTCTCTCCAAAATTCATATGTTCAAATCCTAACTCCTAGTCAGGATATGATATTTAAGGAGGAAATCAAGTTAAAATGAGGTCATTAGGGTAGGAGGAAATTTGGACACAGAAGGAAAACCATGTGAAGATCCAGGGAAAAGATGGCCTTCTACAAGCCAAGGAGAGAGCCATCAGGAGGAACCAATCCTGCCAACACTTTAATCTTGGTCTTCCAGCCTCCAGAACTGTGAGAACATAAATTTCTGTTGTTTAAGCTACTTGGTCTTGTATTTTGTTATAGCAGCACTAGCTGACTAATGCAATAAGTGATGATTCCATTAAGTCCTATCAATCAAGTCCAAACCCCTAGCCAAGTCCTATCACCTCTGGCCGCTGTGTGCCCTGTGCCTCAGCCAGTATGGACCGTCCTTGCTGTTCTCTGGGCCTGCCCTCCACATGACAATGCCTGTGCCACAGGGGTCTCAGGGTGCTGCACAGTCCCACAGTCCCCTCTTTACTCTCCCTTCCCCGAACCTGCAGGTGCTGACTTGGTGAGTCAGATGTGGCCTCCCACTTTCTGCCCAAGCTCTTTGAGTGACTCTGACTTGGAACTTCCATTTGAATCTGGATCTGGCATGGCTCCTAGTTATTGTCTTTGGGCCTCTCTTGCCTTCATGATCTGCAGATCTGGGTGAAATTCACACCCGGAATTCCAGCCCAAATTTCAAGCATTCCATCACTCTCAATTGAATGCCTTTGTCCTCTTTACAATATTTCAAAAACGATACCAGGTCTTAATGAAAGCTTTTCAATTAGATGAGTTCTCTCTCCTCTCTGGCTTCTGTGTCCCCCTAATACTTAGTATAGGTCTCCTGTGACACTTATAGCCAGCCCTGATTTACAGGTAACAATTAACTTGCCATCATCCTCCTCTCCTCCCAACTTAACGTTAAGTTTTCTTTCCCTGATATGGCATCTTGCCTATAGCAGGAATTCAAAATAGCTAGCGAACTACATGATATACAATTATAATAGAAGTAATTCTGACCTTGTATTTTTCGTTTGTTCTTTGCTGCTCATCAGCAAGGTCTTTTATAAATTTAAAAGCCATGTGATCTTTACCAAGGTGCACCTGCCTGGAAAGAAAAACACACACACACACACACCCTCCAGAACCCATCAGAATGAAGTCTCTCAGCTATACTCTATGATTGGAGGAGACATCATGGGGAAGAAACTTGTAGACTTAAGCAACATAATTAAGATGAACAATGTGTTCTAGAAGACAAAATTAAGCTTATCTTCTAGTGACACATGCTGAAATATTTATGAATACAAAAATCTGGTGTTTGCCCAGCTGGCATGGCTCAGTGGTTGAGCACTGACCTATGAACCAGGAGGTCAAGGTTTGATTCTGGTCAGGGCACTTGCCCGGGTTGCATACTTGATCCCCAATGTGGGGCATGCAGGAGGCAGCCAATCAATGATTTTTTCTCATCACTGATGTTTTTCTCCCTCTCTCCCTCTCCCTTCCTCTCTAAAATCAGTAAGAATATATTTTAAAAAATCTGATGTTCAACATCATTAGTTATTAAGGAAATGAAAATCAAACTACAATGATGTACCACTTCACACCCACTAGTATGGCAATGATAACGACGATGATAATGATAATGATAATAAAGACAAATAACAGGTATTGCCAGAGGTGTAGAGAAATTGGAATCTTAAACATTTCTGATGGGAATATAAAATGGTTGGCCATGCTGGCAAACTTTGGCAGCTTCACAAAATGTTAAACATAGAGTTAACACATGACCAAGTAATTCCTCTCCTTGCTCTCTGCCCATGAGAACTGAAAATATATGTTCATACAAAAACTTGTATATAAATGTTCATAGCAGCATTATTCACAATCACCAAAAAATGGAAACCATCCAAATATCAACTAATGAATGGATAAATAAAATGCAGTATGTCCATATTATGCAATATTATTCAACCATAAAAAGGAATGAAGTCCCTATAGATACTATGACATAGATGAACCTTGAAAACATGTCAAATGAAAGAAGCCAGCTGCAAAAGGCCACATATTATATGATCCCATTTATATGAAATGTCCAGAGTAGGCAAATCTATAGTGGCTGCCAGGGCCTAAGAGAGAAGGGAATGAGAATGACTGCTTAATGGGTATAGGATTTCTTTCTGGAGTAATGCAAATATTCTGGAGTTAATTAATGGTGATAGTTACACAGTGTTGTGAATATACCTAAAACCTCTGCATTCACACTTTAAAATTATTAAAATGGTGAATTTTACATTTTATGCATTTTATCACAGTTTAAAAATATCTGGTATGTAATGTATTTATCATGAAACATGGTACATGTTAAAAATAAATAGTAGCTATGATTTTACAAATGAAAGGGGGTCTAGCTGGTGTGGCCCAGTGATTGAACCAGGAGGTCACATTCAATTCCCTGTCTGGGTTGCGGGCTCGATTCCAGTGAAGGGCGTGCCAGAGGCAGCTGATCAATGATTCTTTCTCATCATTGATCTCTCTCTCTCTCTCTCTCTCTCTCTCTCTCTCTCTCTCTCTCTCTCTCTCCTTCTTTCTCTTCCTCTCTGAAATCAATAAAACTATATTTTAAAAATGGAAGGGTGTTTCTGGAGAAGTGTTTTAGATTAAAGGAGACTAAAGAAAAATGAAAACTAAATACAAATTGTATGGGCCTTGATTGGAACCTGGATCCCTCCTCTCTAAAAACAAAAACCCAGGTACAAAGGACAATAATGGGACAACTGGGTAACACTGTGTATTGGCTGATGACAATATTATTGTAACAATCTTAAATGTCCCAGAAGTGATTATGATAATGTTGGAGAATGTCTTTGTTTTCAGAAACTTCATGCTAAAGTCTTTAGGAGTGAAGATTCATGATGTCTGCAATTTACTTTCAAACGGTTCAGAAAAGTGTGTGTGTGTGTGTGTGTGTGTAAGAGAAAGTATATGCGGCATAATGTTAACAATCGGCGAACCTCCATCAACTGTATATGGGTGTTAATGGCAGGTTTAAAATTTTTCAACAAAAAAAGTTGGGAGAAACTGAATTTAGGATGTGATTTCAAACATAGAAGGAGGGACATGGCCATTGCATCATACTGATTATTATTATTTTTTTTATTTTAAAAATAATATATAGAGTGATAAAATATAGTGATTATTTTCCCCTCCCAATACTTTACAAATAATAATTTTCAGGTTTTTCTATCATGACAATGTGTTCATTTTTATAATAGGGAATTAATATTTTTAAAAATGCTCTTTGAAAATGGTGGATAGGTAAATTTGGTATGCAAATCCTCTCATAACACATCAAAATCAAAACTAACCTATAAAATAAACATCATTCAGAACTACCTGAATGCAAGCTAAACAGAAGTCCTACAACTAAGGATACAAAGAAGAACCCACATTGAAACTTATAGAAGGGGCAGAAATGTGGAATGGACTGGTCCCGCTCCTACATGTGGCAATACAAATTGGGAGGGATATCTAGGCTGCAGAAGTCCCCCCTGAGGAGTGAGTGGTCCCAGACCCACTCCAAGCCTGCCAGTCCAGTCCAGGGTTCCAGTGGCAGAAAAAGAAGTTCCCATAACTTCTGGCTGTAAAAGCCAAAGAGGACTGTGACTGAGTGAGGTGAAGGGCAGCTGGAGTCCCAGTTGTTCCTCTTAAAGGACTCATTTACAGACTTCCTTAGACTTACTCTCTCTGAGCTCTAGCACTGGGAGAGCTGCTGAAAGGGCACCAGGGACAGATGGGAGGAACTGAATTGTTTGGAATCAGGGCGAGAGCTGGAGGGTCAGCTTTCTCCAGATAGAAGTGTTGACAGAGGCCACTGTTTCTTTTCTGAGTCCCTCCCCACTGAGCTGGAAGGAGGGCACCAGCCTTGGACCTCATCAAAGCTCCACCCAACCATCTCCACCAGGGGATACACTCAGAAGGCACCAGAGCCCTGCTGAAAAGTCCTGCTCTTGGGGGTCAACCCCTGAACAGTTGGCCCTCTGCAGTGTTTGCAGACAGTGCTTACAACTGGTCAGCCTGTGGTAGATCCTCCCCATTCAAGTGCCAACAAGCAATCAAGGCTCAACTACAACAGGAGGGTATACACAGCCCACATGAGGGACCAACCTGGAATGCCAAGCTTGGATGATTGGAAAGGCTGTGTAACTGGGCCTTACAGGACACCTATGACACAAGGCCAATCTATGAAGCCCGGGAGACCTATATAACATAGAAACAAACGCAGGGAGGCAGCCATAATGAGGAGATAAAGAAAATTGTTCCAAGTGAAAGAACAGAATAAAGTTCCAGAAAAAGAACTAACCAAAATGGAGACAAGTAATCTACTAGATGCAGAGTTCAAAACAATGGTTATAAGGAAGCCCATTGAACTTAGGGGAAGAATAAATGAACTACTGAGAGCTTCAACAAAGATAAAACAAAAACAGAAGTAGAAAACATAAAAAGAATCAGTCAGAAATGAAGAATGCACTAACTGAAATGAAGAATACATTACAGGGAATCAACAGTGGAGTAGATGACGCAGAAGATCAAATCAGAGATTTAGAAGACAAGGAAGTAGAAAACATCCAATCAGAATAGAAAAAGAAAAAAAAAAAAGTGAGGATAGTATTAGGAGCCTCTGGGACAACTTTCAAGCATACCAACATTTGCACCATGGAGGTACCAAAGGAGAAAAGAGACAGGAAAAACATGTGAAAAAATAATGATGGAAAACTTTCCTAACCTCTTGAAGGTAATAGACATAGAAACATGTATCTATTGTATCTAATACGTAATACAGAGAGTGCCAAATAAGATGAACCCAAAGAGGCATGCACCAAGACACATCATAATTAAAATGCCAAAGATTAAAGAAAAGTGAGAATCTTAAAAGAGCAAGAAAAAGTTACCTACAAAGGAGCTCCCATAAGACTGTCATTTGATTCCTCAACAGAAACTTTGCAGATCAGAATAGATTGGCAAGAAATATTCAAATAATGAAAAGCAAAGACCTACAAGCAAGATTACTCTACCCAGAAAAGCTATCATTTAGAATCAAAAGACATATAAAGAGCTTTCCAGACAAGAAAAACTTAAAGGAGTTCATCACCACTTAACCACTATTACAAGAAAAGTTAAAGGACTTATTTAAGAAGAAGGGGGAAAATTAAAAATATGAATAATAAAATGGCAATAAATACATACATAACAATAATTAAATCTAAAAAACAAAAGGAAGAAACAAGAAGAACAGAAACAGAGTGGTAAAGAACATTTTGATGGTTGCCAGTGGGGTGGGAAGTTGGGTGGAAAAGGTGAAAGGGTTAAGAAGGACAAATTAGTAGTTACAGAAAAGTCATGGGGATGTAAAGTACCAGGCAGGGAATACGGTCAATAATATTGTAATAACTATGTATGGTGACAGATGGGTACTAGATTCATTGAGATGATCAGTTAGTAATGTCTAATCACTGGGTTGAATACCTGAAACTAATACAATATTGTATGTCAACTGAAATAAAAAATATTAAAACTGCTCTTCAGTTACTTGGTATACTTTCTATTTAGCTGAGGTCACATCCTGAATACAGACATTTGCTGAAGTAGAAGGTATTTCCATGATGACAAAGGGCACTTCCTCTCCCATGTAAGCAGGGTGGCTGGGTGAGGAGTGCTTAGGCAGGGGAATGGACAAGATGGCCTCTAAAAGACTCTTTCCTGGAGTCTTAATTTTTAGCTTAATGTAAGAGTTTCTGAAGTTTCTTTCAGCTGAATCTGAACACATGGAAAGGCCTGGTGTGTCCTGGTAAGAAATTGAAAAAGGGCTCCATTTTGATTGCAGGAGCACAGGCAGCAGTCTGACATCTTTTTTAAAACCTCCATCAGCAGCTCCCCCCACCCTGTACTGCTGGGCTCCCAGCAGGCCCATGGGCTCCTGGTGTGGTGAGATTGGGGGCGGTGGGGAGGAAGGCTGGGGCAGCAGCAGGCAGCAAGGAGTGTCCCCTTCTCCATGTGCACCCTGGTTCTGCCACTGTCTGGCCACACTTAGGAAAGGGCAGAGTTTGGACACATTGATTCATTCCCAAAAGTAACTTGGCTCTAAAATAGAGGGGCCAGTGGAGGGAAAGAATAATTAAAATTTTCAAGAGTTATGAACATTTCATTGTCTCATATAATAAAAGCCTTTACTTAAAACAAAGTACTGTCACTTGATACAAATAATTGCTCAATATTTACCATTTAAGATGATTTTCAATCTCTTCATGAGTGTCCTGTCTGACTTTCTGTTCAAAAAGTGCTTCCTTCATCTGTCTTGTTTTTGAAACCTCATTGCCTTGGTCCAAAACTGAAGGCAGAAGCAGACAATGATTATACCGGTAATCAAATCAGAACCATTTGCTGAGAGGAAAACACATTTCTAAATATGAAACTCAGTGACCTAATTGGGTTTTGTTGTTATTGCTCATGAATAGTAAATGCCACAAGCAATAATACTTTCCGGTTCTGCCCAGGTGCTGATTTACGGTGGGTCAGCTGGTTACCTTCTCTTAATTCTTTAATTTTCAGTTTTCCTGGTTCTTGGTTTAAAACAGTTGCCACAGCAAATGGATTTGATAAATCTACTGGAAATCTCAAGTTATGATATTCAATTTCCTGGGACCAAATCAGGAAGAAAAAGTCATTATTTTGCTTCTCTCTCACCCCTCCCGTTATGGTTAAATGGATGCCCACTTACCTTAACCTTTGGAGGTTTTATCTTCGCTGGCTGTCGGTGAAAATTTATCCGTGTCATTGACTTCTCTGCAGGAACGTCTATTTTCTTAGAAAGAATATTTAATCTTTCAAATTCTTCTAATCTATAGTTTAAAACATATTAAATTAGTATATAATCAAACAACTCAAGATTCCTTTTTTCTTCTAGTTATACCATGACTTATAGTCAGTCCATTTGTTAGTAATTGCAGGTTAATTTGGTGTGCTAAAACATTGGCCTACCAAGATAAATGCAATGTCAGTATACCGAAGGATAACCATTTATATCAAAATAGTTAACCAATGGCTGTTTTTCTTTACATTCTCAAAGAACATAACAAGTGAAAAACATGATATGCTGAAAATTGCTCTCATGGTCTAGCATAACTGATTTGTAGGCCATTGGTTTTCATTAGCTAAATTCACTACATTAAAAAATTTTACATTGATTTGTCTTTGTAGCAAAAGAATGATTAAGTCCACTGTGTGTAATAAGATCTTTCAAAAGATGATTCAGACAAATGTTTGAGATATTTTCTACAACTGAAAACTGCCTTTGGACATATGTAGATAGAGACAGTGCTGCTAGCATGTCCACGGAAACTATTAGAGTTATTTCTAAAGAGATGTAGTAGAGCTACGTTACTTTCCTAAGTGCTGCTTATGAAGCATTTCTTTAAGCAAGAATGCCTGAACACTTGTCTTACAAGATGACAGATTTCCTTGTTATTACAGATAGAAGTTAAGAATATGCTAACATTCATTCATTCCAACTGTCAACGTGCGTTTGCTGAGCACCCATTGAACAGGGCCCGTGCACAGCAGGAGCACCTAAGTAAGGTGTCCTGCAAAGCCCATGGCGTGGGAGCACCTGTCTGCTGGTGACCCACACACTGACGGGTGTGCTGTGATGTGCAGAGATGAGGCGCTTGCTTAGGAGCGAGCTGTGGCTCAGCCTCTACGTCTCTATAGAGCCGTGACATCACTTCTGCTGTAAATACAGGGGAACAACAGAAAATGAGGGTGTTACAACAGTCTCCTCAAGAAATCTAATTGCTAGTGTTGACAACAAAAATAAATGAAGGGGTCTAAGATAGTGATAAAGAGTTACATTTGGCCATGCCAAGTTTAGGACATGAGTAAGTCCATCACACACACAGTAGTGAAACAAAAAGCAACCTATGAAACTTCCAGAGAACATGGCTGCAGGGCAATTTTCTCCTTCCTGGTGAAATTTACATGCTAGTGGTCTACGTGCAATGCGGGGAGAGATGAAGGTCAAACATAGTCCTTGAAAATGTTGAGTGTGCTAAATAAGATATTAAACTAGCTGGGAAACCAAAACATGACAGTTTAGAAATAGTGTATATCAGCATTTCCATACAGTGCTCTTGTGTAGTTAAGCACATGTCTGTGGAAAGATATGTAAACAAAAATCCTACTCAAGTAATGTCTTTAGGAAGAAAACCATGATATAAATATATAATAAATCATGAAGTTTCACGTTTAATATGCCTTACGATGTAAATATGTAATCTATATCTATTCATGACAAGAAGAAGAATATCAAGGTATTTCTTTATCATTTTTGAAATATTTATAAGGGTTTTCCAAAATTAGTATTTATACTTTGGCAAATTTTCCTTGATAAAATCATGCATGCTAGGATAAAACATAATATTATCCAGATACATTGGGATATAGAAATAAGAGCTCACATTCGAATGAAAGTAGAATGTGAGCTTTTATTTTCTTCAGGAAAAATTTGTGGTGGCCTACAACCTAACCCCCTTTCACATCTGTCCTCTGACTTGAATGTTGATGGTATTTAACGCACCTGCCGTGTGGCACGTCTCCCTTTCTGCCTGATGTGGAAGCCATTGTTAGAGAGGACTTATTTCGGCTCCCTTTTTGCGGGTGTATTCAGGGTCTGGACCATTTCCCATGGGGCATTGCAGTGGACACTGCCGAGAGAGCCACTCTATACGTTACAATAGTGTACTGAAACTTTAAAAAGAATTATGTTGTTCTGGCCTCATGGGTTAAATTTTTGAGTTAATTTCTGGCCAGGAATTCAACCAGCACACCAGTAATCATCGGCGAGAGAATGTATTCCCTAGAAAGCCCCTTTATCTCAGTCAGTGCTCCCCCTCTTGGCAGAAGCAACGGCTGCTCCAGCACAGAGATAGCCTATGTATCACCATTATACTTTAAAGTGCATGTGAAGTAAGTGTTCGATGGCATTCTGTCAGAAGAAAGGAAAGCAGAGTGGAAGGAAGACTGGATTTTAAAAAGGGCTTAAGGCTAAACACACACAGCCCCCGGCTGCCATACTTTAAAGCCATGTTGGGATAGCAAGTTCCGGTGAAGACACACTCGTAGGGCTCAGAGTTGAACTGGGAAATCCTCAACTGCATTCTTACTTGTGCCATGCCGTACTGAAAGGGCGTAAACTTGACAGTCACGTTCGTCTTCCCATTAGCTGGGATTATCCCTGAGGGAGGAAATGAGGAAAAACTGATACTTTCTCTTCTGCAAAGTCCAAAGTCCATGCACACACACACACACACACACATTCTTCCCAGGATAAGCACAGGTTTCTATCCTCTTTATATAGTCTTTTCATTAAATACAGGTGAACCACCTTTTGGTGTCTTCATCGATTTTATTTCCTAACTAGAGGCCCAGTGCATGGATTCGTGCATGGGTGGGGTCCCTCAGCCTGGCCTGTGCCCTCTCACAATCCTGGACCCCTGGGGGGATGTCAGACGGCTGGTTTTGGCCTGCTCCCCGCAGGCCAGGAGGGATGTGGCAGTGCCAAAGTGGCAGGCGGCCCGGGAGGAGCCTGAGCCAGGCGGATAACGTGCTGCTCGCACTCATCCCTGCCCTGCTGCACCTGCCACGGCAGCTTGGTAGCACTGCCGCGGAGGGGGAGAGGCTCCCTCTGCTGCAGCTGCACTCGCCAGCAGTGAGCCCGGCTTAGTGGCGCTTCCCCTGTAGGAGCGCAGTGACCACCAGGGGGCAGCTCCTGCATTGACCGGCTGCCCCCTAGTAGTCAGTGAGCCTCATAGGGATTGGTCATTCTCGTCACTCTGGTCGTTCAGTTATAACAGTTGCTTAGGCTTTCATATATATAGATTACAACATAATAATTATTGGATTGTGCCAGTTACATAAATATATGCCTATCAACCAGTGTCAGTAAATCACAGATGAACTCCCAGAACTGCAATCTTTGAACTAATTACCAAATGTCAGTGTGAATGCTGGGAGCAACAAAGAAAAGCTGGGAATACACATAAATGTTTTTTGTCCACATAACACAGCTCCCTATAGTGTTGTGTAACTTGATTCTTTGCTTTAAAACTTTTACGATGGACAACTGTTCTCTTCCATGTCAAATATCCCACAGGTCTCATTCCTCCCTGTGTCTCTGTGGCCCTCAAGGCTGGAACACAGCAAGTGCTTCATACACGTGGAAAGAAAAGTGAAAGGGAGAGAGGGGAGCGGGTGGAGGGGAGGACCAATGTGTTCCATTTGAGAAGGGCTGATGCTCTGACTCACTGAAGGCTCTCCGGCTTGCTTTCCAAATGATTCCTCATGCCCTGTGCCTCAGTCTCCCCTATCCCTGCAAGGGCCTCATTCTCTCATAAGCACATTCTCTCATAAACTCCTGGCACCCCTCCTTCCCGTTTCTCTCTCCTCTGAACCTTGCACCCCCTGTGCTCCCTGAGCTTTAACCACATGGACACCCCACGCTGCCAGCTAACATTCCTAGAGCACTCACTGTACACCAGGCGCTGTTTTAGGCACTCAAGAAATAGCGATAAACAAAACAATGGATACTTGCTGAATGAGTAGATGAATCCACATGTCAATGCCAAGTTCATGAAACTCCTACTGAATCTCTCTCCATGAGGTGGAAACCCCTCTCAGCTCTGCCAGCCCTACAGGACTCCAGAGCTGAGCGAACTGCTGCCTTTCAGAGCTTACAAGCTTCTAACTAGGTTGCAAGCCCCCAAGGCAGACAACAGGCCCAAAGCTCTTTTATCTTCATGGACCCCAAGCCCAGTGCTTCAGAAACAGGTATTTGTTTCCTGAGGGCAGACATGAAAATCTTTAAATAACAGCCACTAGTGACTCCAGAGACCACCTAGGGAAGAGGTAATCAGAAGAGCTTGCTCTGTCCCTCAGCCTAGCAGTTCAGTACCTCGGCCACCCACTTGACCAGGAAACACACCCGTTTGATCTGCAATTCACCGGGGGCTTTAGGCTAAGAACAGTCTAGTGCTTCGGCTCAAGCTCATTAACGTGAAAAATAAGGACAAGCTCTGGAGCAAGAATTAATGTTTGCCTTGACCTGGCTGATTTATGTTTAGGTGCTCCAGGCCCAGCTCGAATACATAAAGCACATGGGGGGGGGGGAGGCGGGGGCGCCCTGGGCGGTCGCCTAGGCAACCGGAGTACACTCACTGCCTTTTCCATTAACAGGGACACAGTCAACAGCTTTGTTCATAGAACTGGGTCGTAGCCCATTGACAAATGTTAACAGCTACAAAGGTGTGCCAAGCTCTCATAGCTTATTGCTTGGCAAAAATTAATGGTGGAGAAACGAGAGACTGTTTCATGTTTTAAAAGTGAGAAGAGCACCCCAAAATTTACTACTTCATTTAACCGCCCCCCCCCCACCCCCCAATGATTCTGTGGCTTCCATTCAATTCAGATCATTACCCTTAACACAACCAGGGATAATGGTAATTCCAGGCAGGGAGGGTGATGAGGCAGAGACAAAGGCTAAGAAAATACCAGTTTATCAGTAAAATGAGTATTATGAAGAAAATGTAACAACACTCAGCAATTATAAATGAAGTCACCAGAAAATACCACTATTAGTATAATATATTTGCTGTGCTTACAATTGTGTAAAATGGGCATTAAATATGGGCAGTTACTAAAAGAAAAGGGAAACTAAAAAGCATATTATTTGTTAGGGCATAGGCCCAGGATGAGGATTATTTAAAAAAAAAATTATTTTCTTACATGCCCATATAGTGTTATTACAATGTTGTTATAATTTTAAAGTAACATTTTTCTTCAAAGACTCAGAAAGTATAGACCATTCTCCCACATGCTTGGAGTGATAGCAAGTATGAACCTTAATCTTCCAAATTTAGGCTTTCACTAGCTTCTTAACCTCTCCATGCCCCAGTTGGGATGTTAATAATAACTTGATCTGTGACCACCCTGGCACATGTTTGCATGTCATGTCAATGTGTTCTTCCCAATGACTGAGCCAAATAAGCATGTTCTGGGATTATGCCCAAATCAACACAACATTGTAAAAGTGTACATTTTGGAAGACAATGAAAGTAGAAACTTACTTGTAAATGCCTGCTGTGCTCAAAAGAAAAGAGAACGAAACTATTGAAATAAGAGCACTGGGCCACAGCCCCAGGCATTCTTGCTAACCTAGCCATTTTATGCTCCGTCACCATTTCTCTGAGTGGGTTCATCCTCCCTGAGTGTGTGACACCAGGTGAATGTCCGAGATCTCAATGTAGTGAGAAGTAAACGAGTGCCACACATTTTTGTGGAGCTCGGCTGGTCTCCAACACTAATAAGATTTTGGCCAGACTCATGTGTTGCTGGCTTTTCCAAAATTATCAACAGTGTCTTGGTGTTTTAATTGCGCGTGATTTCTTGTCCACAGTACAAGGCGGGTCCCAAACTCCTTTATGCAGGTCCCCCACACTCAGGGAGCTCCTGGCGCCATCATCAGACCCAGCTCCTGGCAGGACAGTCATCTTGCATGAGGGTGAGCAGTGGGCACAGGCCGGTGAGTTGGCGTTGCGGGCTCGCTGTCAGGTTCACATCTTGTAAATGGAATGAGCTTTACTCTGATGTTTGCATGTGGCAAGCCTGAGCACAAGATGCCTGGGAGGCATGGGCGTTGGGTGCTTCCGGTGCCCAGAGACAAAGTTGCTTTGTAACCTAATGGACTGATGGGCAGCTCCACAAGCCTTTAGGCAGTCAGTTAGCAAAGAAGTATCTGAAACCATGTGTACAAAATACGCCTGCTCACTGCGTAAAACTAGCCTGTAGCTCTTAGCCTACCTGTGAAATAAAGGCGAGGGGACTTGCTGGCAGAGAAAGTGACCCTGGACTGTCCAGCTGTCAGGCTAGGTGCCCGACAAGCCAGGAAAGCCCAAGCTCACGGGGCTGCGTGCCACCCACACTGCACTCACTGTCCATGCAGCCAAGGGGTTGACTGCCGGCGAATAAAGCCATCACTGAATGCATAGCCTCAGGAGAGTTACAGCCATGATGTATCGCTACGTCAATAAAGTGGGAAACCGAAGCAAGAAAATGCCGAGACCAGGGGAGCAGAGTGATGGGCGAAGCCAAAAAAAAAAAAAAAAAAAAAAAAAGAAGAAGAAGAAGAAGAAAAAGAAGAAGCTCCCCAGGAGGCTCAGTGAGACCAGCTTGTAAAGCCAGATCAGCAGCACCATCCACATGAAGCAGATCATTTAAAACCGCAGAAGCGGAGTTCCCAACGTTTAAGGGCCCGGGCTTGCCGTTGTTCCTTCATCCTTCCATCCATCCATCCAGCCAGCCAGCCAGCCATCCACTCATGTCTCCTCCTGCACCACACCCTCCTGACTTCCTCCTTGGTCTCTGCCCTCGACCCACTTCCCTTACTGTCCTCTGAGTGCCTGTGCCCAGGGCTCGGTCCTCAGTCCACTCAATCCCTGGATGACTCATGGCCAGCCCCACAGCTCTACGGTCGTCGATATTCAGGCCAAAATTTATGTCGCTAGCTCTCATCTCTCTTTTGACTCCAAACTGGCATATTCAATTTAGTTTTACTTAAAGGAGGAATTTAAAAGGCAAGCAACAAACAAAGCACCAGAACCACCACCAAAGCTTATAAGATGGAGCAGGAAATGTGCTCAGGGACCACCCTTGGTCTGAATTGTGTGGCTGTGCAATCCACAACCCGAGCGCTAGTGGAAAGGCCTGCGTGGTTTTTTAGTGTTTCACGTTCAGTTGTTATTCATACGTGTGAACACTGTCTCTGCTTATGGATGTAGCCATACATTGTGTTTCAAAACCCTCTGGGTAAACTAATATTTTGTGTCTTGGGAATTTTTTTTTTTTTTTTTTTTTTTTAAGAATGGCTTGGCCATAAGAATCTCTAGCTTTCTCCCAAATTCTTCCTTTCTTTTTGTTGCTGCTGACACCAGCTTAATTCAGGCTCTCAAGGCCTAAATGATTTCATTCCCAGCACAATGATCGCCTGCTCCCCTGCTGCCCCCACTTCGGTCACACCCTCACCATGCGGCTCCACTGGCCTTCCTAAAAGTCGTTCCCATCAAGCCTGCCCAGAAATCTTAGGGGTTCCCTTCTGCCTGTGGAACTAATAGAATTACAGACAGCCAGGCCCGGTAGGCCAAGCCAGGGCTGCTGAGCCCAGATCGTAGTGTTGGACACTTTGGGGCACTGACCCAGTTGAATCCTCATTCTGAGGTTTGACTGCCCTCGTCGCATTCCCACCAGTCTGCGGTGGTGGCGAACCAGCTACTTGCTAAGCAAGGAAACCATCTTTGGGCGGCTAGACGATGCACTGGTTCTAGCTCTGCCCTCGGGAGCCACGGGGCAAGCCCGTCCCTTTCCTCTCCACAGCGGCCCTCACCACTGACACAGCTAACCTGCCTCCAGGGCCCTTTTCCCCTTCCGAGGCATGTCATCCCCACGCCTTCACTGACCCCACGTCCTTTCACTGGGACTCCGCGGACCTGCCTTAGAGGGTGGGTCTCAGGGACAACCCAGGGGTTCAGTGTGGTCTTTATGGGCACCGGGGGCAGGGTTGCCCTCTCTTTCTTACTACAATCTCTACTTCTCTGAGTGGAGTCCAGACTACGATCGCAGGAGGGAGTTTATTTTACCGACTCACCTTGTAGGCGACATTCTTATGACCTCTCCAGAGTGAGGGTGAGGTCCAGTTTGCGCATATGAGGCAGAGGCAGTGCACACATTCACTTTGTAACCAGAATGAATGGGTCCAAATCTCTCCTCTGCTACTGACTACTGAGTGTCCTCGGACAAGTTACTTAACCCCTCTGAGCCTCGTTTCTATGTCTATAAGATTGAAATAGTGATTGTAGACCTCATGTGGTTCTGGTAGAGATTAAGTGTATGTATATAATGTATCTCTATATATATAGTCTAGAGTAGAACAGTGCCTCACTAAGTGTTGTTATTATTGTATTATTGTCCTACCAAAAGGCCTATTATGAGAACATCAACGGTAGTAAAAGCAGAAATATTATCTTGTTTAGTTTATTTTTTTTGTAACCACTTATTTTTATCTTCTTTATAAAGCTTCAAAATAACAAAATTCTTCTCCCTGGAAAGAGAATCAAGCCCTGTTTTCTGCAATATAAATAAATTGCAGAAAACAATTTATTTATATTTTTTGCTACAATGTATGGCAAAAATCTCAGAATGGCTCATGGTTCTCTAGGAAATAATCAAGGTACATTTTATAATTCAGAAGTGATTGAACCCTCATTTTGGACAAAGCATGCACTGGCAACAACGAAAGGGCAGGAAGCAGATGGATCACACCCCCTGACGTTATTTAAATCCCAAACCTAGACACCAAGCACCGGAAGCTGGGGAGCAGCACCCACTTCAGAGGGGACTTCTCTCCCAAAGGTCCTGAGCAGCCCCGGACCCAGGTCCTTTGGGACACGCAGAGACGGACTGTCCACAATTCATCCGAAACCTCCCGAGGTCTCTGAGAGCTTGGGGAAAATAATACTCTCATTTTATTTGACATTGAATTGAAAGATGAATATAAGGTACCAAGAAGCAAAATTAGAATTAGGTAAATTCAAGTTTTGATCTTGGAAAAAATTTATCTGGGCATTATTTTAAATTATCTGCACAACACAATTGATCCTAAGTGTTTATCTCCAAGTGTCTGATTCCAATTTACACTGTGCCAGGTATGTAAAATCTGTCACTGTTATGCATTTGAAAATGTCATATTCAAATGTGGTTTATTCTCTTATGTCACTTGAGACCTACCCTCCAAATCCTCTTTGATCTAAGAGCTCTAAGGAAATTAAAAACTTGAAATCTTGCCTCTTCTTACCTGACATTGGCTCAATCGTAAAGGCCGGATGAGACCGAATCATATCTATCCGGAACTCAAAATCTACAGGGCAGCTGCACTGCAAAGGAATAACGTATCTTTTGCTGCAAAAAAGAAAAATAGAAAATATCAGCAATCTTAGCAGCTTCCTTCTGCCTACAGAACTTAATAGAATTATAGGCCCTCAGGCAGGATAGGCTAGTACAGTGACCTCAAACTGCACTCTGAGGAATGTCTTCATCAGAAGACTGGGGAAAATGAGTCAGAGGGGTTAAAGGGCACTCTGTAGTATGCGGTAGAGCTGAGATTTGGACCCACAGAGAGTATGTATGCACTGCCTTATTCTACAGGAAACCAGACCCTTTCCAAAGCCGCTAGGCACAAATGGCCCTGGGCATTGTAGTGTTCAACATATATCTCCCTCTGTAGTAATGAAGAATAGAGACTCAATGTATAATAAACAGCTACAACAATGACAGCAGTCAATGCCAGTATGATAATTCCTGGGTACTGGCCTGCTACACATGTCCAGGTGGCAATGACTCTAACCCTGTGTGGTAGGACTATGATCTCCCACTTAGAGATGACGAAACAGGCACAAGGGAAAGAGAATAAATGTCCTGCTCACGGTGACACGGCTACAGGAGGCAATCGTCAATGTGTTTCTCTCACATCGATATTTCTCCCTGTCTTTCCCTCTCTCTTCACCCTAAGAATCATTGGAAAAATAGCCTCAGGTGATGATTAAAAAAAAAAAGTAAGAGAATGATTCCCTATTTTGAATAGAAACCAACCTGAACCTTTAAAATATTAGATTTATAGGCCGGGCCAGGGGACTCAGTTGGTTGGAGTGTCATCCTGTACACCAAAAGGTTGCAGGTTTGATTCCCCATCAGGGCACATACCTACCCTGTTTCCCCCCCCCAAAAAAAGTGTCTTATATTAATTTTTGCTCCCAAAGATGCGCTAGGTCTTATTTTCAGGGGATGTCTTATTTTTCTGGTACACATTTATTGTTAAATGAAAATAAAGGAAATTTATTACCTGTATATGGTACGGTAGTACGGTAGTTGTCAACACAAACCAGACAAACTGTGAATACTACAGTATCAAGAATTTACTCATTTATTTAATGACAATCATGTCATCATCTTCTGGAACATCATCATAACAATCCAATTCCTGAATTTCCTGGTGAATTTCTTGTGACTCCATTTCTTTCAGAATCAGTGGACCAAATCTCTCATGTTTAGCAATAACACTGTCTTTAAATGAGTACTTCTTGACAAGGTAGCCTGCTCACAGTGCATTTGCAATGCAACTGTCAGTGATTTTCTCCCATGAATTCTTCACCCAAGTCACAACTTCTTGCAGGTTAGGTTTCACAAAGTTTCCACGCTGATTTCTTTCCATTCTATTTTCAATGTAGTCATTAATTTCTATGTGCAAATTGTCTTTGAGTGGCTTGTTTATTGCAATATCAAGAGTCTGGAGTTAGGCCGTCATTCCTGCGGGAATCATTATCTGATCCATTTTTCTTTCGTGAAGAAATGTCTTCATGTCTTTAGCGTGGTGTGCTGGCTGCATCCCAGACTAGCAGACCTCTTTGGCTCCCTCGCATAACAAGCGGCAGCATTAAATCGACCCACTTCCTTATAACTGCTTGTGTGGCCCAGGCTTTTTCAGTTTCAAGAATAAAAATGCCCAAAACACGTTCATACTTTTCCTTCTTGCCCTTAGAAATGATTAAAGGTGGGATTTTAGTGCCACCCGGACGAATTGCCAAAATACAGGAAACACATGCACTTTCGTAAGCAATGGAGGGAATGTACACTAAGGAGGCACCCCGCTGTTCAATTGTTGTTTGAGATGATTGGCCCATAAACACGGCAGTTTCATCCATAGCAATCATGTTGGAAAGATTGTATTTAGAGAAGTCAGCATCATCAATAAAGGACTTGAATACAAGTGCATGCTTAATAACTTGAGTATCTTCCAACCTAAACAATGTTGTACCGGTAGATCTTCTTAAAGACAGTTCACTTCACTGAAGGAAATTATCCAGCCAGTGTTGTGATGCTTTGAAGTCTTCGGGGGCTATGTCAAACTGTGGTGCCATTACAAGGGCAAATTCTTGAATCTGAGCCCTATTCACAACCAAAGCCTTTGCTCTCCTGTCAACAACCCATTCACAGATCAGGTCTTCCAGCTCAGAAAATAATGGTTGCCGACCTGATCCACACTTGCGCTTTTTAGCATTTCCCTTGTCCACTTGTTCAATGAGGTTACCATACTCTGCTCGCCATTTTCGGACCAATCAGATACTCAACATCTTCTCTTTGCAGAAAGCAGTAAGATTTTGGTCCCAAGAGTCTTCCACGATTCCTTTCTTGTACTCCACAGAGTAGCTTTTTCTTTTTGCGCTCATTTCTAGGGGTAAAAAAGAGGAATTGGGGTATCAAGGTGGGGGGAGGGGGATCATTTAAAATGACACAGGGCGGATCAGAGGGAGGAATCAAAATGGCACAGGAGGATCAGAGGGGGGATTACCATTTTAGTAACCCCTTTTGATCCTTCTGTGTCATTTTGATTGCCCCCTCTGATCCTCCTGTGTCATTTTAAGTGATCCTCTTCCTCCCACCCCTGTGCCACTGAACACCTTCACCAGACATCTCTCCTACCCCTTTATCAGACATTTACCCCCTGGGGCCTGCCTGGGGACTGTCACTGGGCTTGCTGGGGCCTGGATCTGGGCTGGAGCAGGGTCTGCCACTGACTAGAACCTTCAGTCATCATGAGGGCGACCAAGAGCATCAGGTAGTGTCACCAGAGACAGACCAGCACTCATCATCTTCGCTGCGTCCTATCTGCTCTAATCCTCCTGTTCTTCTACAAGCATCTGCGAAAGTCTCCTCCTCTCTCCCGCCCGCACTCACGGCTCACTCCGATCTCCACTCCGCCCACACAGCAGTGACGTCAGGACTCCGAGTAATGTCACTGGTTGCTAGGCGCCAGATGGGGCGGCCCTAGCGACAAGTTTATGGTAAATTAATTTTCATTCTGAGACAGAGCCTGTGGGGGAGGGGGGCTTATTTTTGGGGGGATATCTTATATTTCACTCAGAAGAAGTAGGTCTTATTTTCGGAGGATGTTTTATTTTCGGGGAAACATGGTAGATTTCAAGTTTCATCCCTGATTGGGGTATATAGAGGGAAGCAACTGATCAATGTTTCTCTCTCACATTGGTGTCTCTCTTCTCTCTCCCCTCCTTTCTCTAAAATCAATAAACATATCTTTGGGTGAGGATTTAAAAACAAACAAAAAACAAAATGAAACTTATATTATGATCATGTATACATTTTGTGCCTGTTAGAAGAGAGCATAAATTTGCCTTATAGTAAGTAAAATTATAAAATAATTTATATAAATTCAAATTTCTTTCTTGTCTTTTCCCTAAACAAATGCTAGCAGAGGGCCAGACATCCTTTTAGTTTCTAGTGAATTATATAACATTTATTTTTACCTTACTCTGATGTTATTTTCTCATTTATCCCAAATTTAACATTGTGTCTCTCAAAGGAGTAATCAAGGATTTTTTTTTGAGAGAGTGTCATCTTATTGTGGATAGTAAAAATTAAATCTTCTCTCTGATTAAAAAAAATCTCAATGCCTAGAGAGTAAATGAGCAGTTATCTTATCATAAGTAGGATTTGACTCCTTTGGAGGGAATGCATGTAATTGACAATGAGCACGACAAGTTTTAATTGATATCAAGATACTGGGTTCAGGCAGCACAGTAAGTTAGCAGTAAGTTGTTATGGGTGTGTAACATTTGAAGGAAACGCCATGCAGGTAGAGGGGAGGTAGCCTCAGAGGCGGCTGACCATTTAAACTATCAGATAGACTACACTCAGTGAAGCAGGAGTTTTATATGGCCACCTGCTACTGACAGACAAATCACAGATCAAAAGATGTGGTAGCAGTGAGGTGTCTGTGTGCCATTCTTTCCCTTCCAAATGCACACAAGACTCGTGAGAAAGATGAGTCTGGGAAAGCTTGGGGACTACACATGGCGGCAGTTCTAAAACCAGTCTATAAACGCTTGGCCATCCTCTCATGGAGAGGTGAAGTCTGTGTCTCCTTCTCTGACTTCTTAGCCAGAACATAGTGGAAACTCTGCCATGCTGTTTCTTAAGGCCAAGCCCAAGAAACTGTCACCTTCCACTTCTCTTGGGATGCGCCTCCTGGAACCTGACCACCAGGCTGTAAAAGCCCACACAGCTGTGGAGAGGCCTGCATGGAGAAAGCCAGGGCTCCCAGCACTCAGCCAGTTGAGCTCCCAGATAAGAGCCAGCAGGTGAAGGGAAGGGACCATCTTGGAAGTGGACCTTTTGGCCCCGGTGAGCAGAGCCTGCTGACTCTATCTGGAGCAGAGCTTGGCCTTTTCCATGGAGCTATGCCCAAGCTGCAATTCCCTGCCCAAGCTGCAGCTCCATGCCCAAACTTCAGGTCCATGCCCAAGCTGCAGCTTCATGCCCAAGCTGTAACCTGTAGTTCATGTAGCTCCCTGCCCAAGCTATAGCTCCCTGCCCAAGCTATAGCTCCATGCCCAAGATATAGCTCCCTGCCCAAGCTATAGCTCCCTGCCCAAATATAGCTCCATGCCCAAGATATAGCTCCATGCCCAAGCTATAGCTCCATGCCCGAGATATAGCTCCATGCCCAAGATATAGCTCCATGCCCAAGCTGGAGCTCCATGGCCAAGCTGTAAAACCATGCCTAAGCTGATGCTATAATTGGAGATGGATGTGGAGAGTGCACAGGTGTAAAGGGACCAGAGTGTTCTAAGCCCATAAAAATGTCAAAAAATTAAAAGATAAAAGCCTATAAATGATTGTCTTACTCTGCAAAATTCAAACTGAATATAATCAGCTATGCAAAAGAGCATGGAAATAGAGCTGCAGAGAGACAATTTGGACCTCCTCCCACTGAGTGTCTGATCAGATAGTGGAGAAAACAGGAAGGACAACTCCTTAAGATGCCAAAAAATAAGGCCTTAAGAGGAAAACCAGCAAAAAGGGCAAACTTGGAACAGAAGCTTAAG